TGCAAAGTGTGAAGACCCAAAAATCATTCAAGAGTGGTTTAATTGTGTGCAACATACAATACTTCAATATGGCATCAACCCTGATGATATCTACAACTTTGATGAGACTGGCTTTGCAATGGGTTTAACTGCTACTGCAAAGGTAGTAACAAGGTCTGAATACTATGGTCAGCGATCACTTTTACAACCTGGAAATCATGAATGGGTTACATCAATTGAATGTACAAATGCCTTGGGGTGGGCCTTGCCTCCATGCATTATTTTCAAAGGCAAGGTCTTTATTGAGGGTTGGTTTAAAAACCTCCCAGGTGATTGGCACTTTGAAGTCAGCCCAAATGGCTGGACTTCTGATGAAATTGGACTTTGGTGGCTTCAAAAGCTCTTTATTCCATCAACAATTACTCGCACAAAAGGGAAATATCAACTTTTAATCCTTGACGGCCATGGTAGTCATTTGACCCCAAAATTTGATGAAATTTGCAGTCAAAATGATATCATCCCAATTTGTATGCCTGCACATTCATCCCATCTTTTACAGCCACTTGATATTGGCTGTTTTGCAGTGTTAAAGTGATCATATGGTCAGCTTGTTGAAACCAAAATGTGTCTTGGGATCAATCATATTGACAAATTAGACTTCCTTGAGGCCTACCCACATGCACGAATTGAAGCTTTCAAACCTGATACTATCAAAAATAGCTTCACAGCAGCTGGCTTAGTGCCTTTGGATCCTGATCAGGTGCTTTCAAAGCTCAATGTTCGGCTTTGTACGCCAACTCCCCCTGGAAGCCAGGGTAGTGATTGGGAGCCAAAAACACCTTTGAACCACATGCAATTACAAAAGCAATCCTCATCAATTAAAGGATTGCTCCGTGCAAGATCAAGAAGCCCACCAAGTCCGCTTAAGAATGCAATAAATCAGATTCTTAAAGCATGCCAAATTGGCATGCAATCAGCTGCTATTCTTGAGAAAGAAGTAAGTGAATTACGTGCTTTGAATGTAAAGCAGAAGCAGAAGCGTACACGGTCTAAAAGGCAGATACCCCATGAAGGTGGCCTTTCAGTTCAGGAGGCTGTTGAGCTAATTGAGGCCTCAATTGAGGGCCCGATAGCTCCAGCACCCCCCCAGCCAAGACAGCCTTCACCACCTTTACAGCCACGTACGCGGCCTCCGCGGGGATGTGGAATATGCAGGACCCCAGGACATAGAAGAGAGACATGTCCAGATAGACCTAATTAGGTAGTTTTTTTAATTTACTGGCGTTTTGGTTGAAATAATTGCATTTAAATACTATACATGGGGAGCGGGTGTCCAGCTCGCTTACGTGTCCAGCTCGCTTACCGATTACGTTATTCGGTAAGCGAGCGGGCCATGCAAGCCAGCGGGCTACCTCTGTATTGCATATAAAATGGCACTTTTTCAGACCTCAATATCTCAACCATCATTACAGATATACTACTCCATTTAACGATGTGACGGTTAGCAGGCGGCCGTTTTAGGAGTCCTGCTAACAAACTCTCGTCTTGGCATCAGATGAGCGTATTCCCACGGCCACAGGCTTTCCCTCCACGCCAGGCCACGAGTGTCATGTCCCTTGACGCTAGTTTCAAATGTACCTTTTGTTACTCTTTGCTCGACATCACCTACCTAGACGCTCTCGCTGCAGTCGCTGCGGAGGGGAGCCGTTTTTGGCTCCCCCCTCAACCATCATGTTCTCTCCAGTTATAAGTCCCATTGTGCCAACCGTGTCCTTCCCGGCTTCCATCCTTCCTCCCATGAGCATCTCTCACAGCGCTTCCCGTCCTTTCAAAGCCCGTCCTCGTCCATGAAACCGCTATTATCCTCACCTTCTTTATCTCCTACTTCAGGCTTTCCCTTGTTTGTCAGTTCTCCGCGGGCTGTGTCAACCATGGCACCTCACTCCTGACTGGTTGGATCTGATGACAAAGAGAATCAAACTGATGCCAGCTCCAACCTACTGAGATCCTTTCAGACAATGGATCTGATAGTGACTCCACCAGCGACCTGGAACTTGATAGTGAGGATTTGGATGATGAAAATTGTCACGGGCTTGGACCAGTAGATAATAACGAATTGATATTCCTATCTAAACTAGTGTAGCCATCGACGAAAATATCGAATCTGAAGAAGAGAAGAGAAGAGAAAATCTATATAGATAATGAAGGGTTTTTTATAGGGGTTGTTGACGACATGGCTGCTTGTTCGAGTAGCGGCATTTGGATGTATCAACCGTTGCTGCAGTGTCATATAGGAGCCGTCACATATGAGCCATCACACGTGGCATAGAACCAAATATTCTATAATTCACGATAGCCGCATCGTATTGGAATCCAATAACGGCGTAACTGGAGTGTCTAGTATGGATGATGGATGGAATCGCAGATCATATCATTCTAAAAGCATTATTCCAAGTCTTTCACATGATTGAGACAGTCAATATACCGATCCAAGTAATTTTTTCTTCCGGCCACACTCCAGGTCCGTTTAGATCAGTATCTATATTTTCATCTCGATCTCTGTTGCAGCACCGTCTTTATCCCAGAAATGCACCATGCGCGAAACTAGTGTCAGGCATTGGGATGATGGACAGACGCTTAAGGGCTCTGACTGCTTTGTCACCGAGCTGATGTCTGGCCTTACGCTGGGCCTCGTCTAGTTCCAGTTCCTTTTTCCCAGCAAGGGCCTTTAATTGCGATCAGTGTCTATTCATAAACGGGGCCTTGTATTTGACTCACCAAATCATTCTCCCAGTGCTGGAGCATAGTGCTTAATATGTGTGGTTTTCCAAGTGCCTCTGGTGTCTTGTCAAGGTAGGCCGCAAATAAATTCCACTCTTCTGAATCTCCAGGCCCATCGCTCTCATAAGGTGCTCGGTGAGATGAAAGAATGTTGTACTCAAACCATTCCATGCATTCTGGCATCTCCTGGTTCTGGTATCCTGCAGACCCCGCCTTACGCAATAACGCATCAAAGTCTGGGCTCAAACGATCTTTCGATTCATCGTATACTCCGTCGCGTTTGTCCATCCACCTCCCGAGGGTTACTTTCCATTCCGAGACTAGCCGCTCTACTCCGCCAGGCACGAGGTAATTGCCATCCAAAATACTGCCCGCTTTGAGACCTCTCAGCTTCCAGTTGTGCCGGGTCAACGGTTGAATTCGATCAAGGAAATCTGCCTGGGAAAAATCGGCTATTTTCTCAAAACACTGTATATGGTAAAAGTCTAAATGTGAGGCATTATTGTCATGTTTTGAAAAACAAAATAAGCGGCGCTGGTCATTTGTGACTCACCAGCTGACGATCTGTACCATTGGCCGAAACCCATTGCAGGATTTAATGCGAGACGTAATTCTCTGGGCCATATGTTATTGCCGCATATGGGAAGCTTGCATTTGGCTCCCCTGGGAGAATTAGGTGCCATCTCAATGAAGAACAAAGGTTGGAATTTGGGCGGATCAGATGGACCACCGGGCTCTGGGCTGAGTCCCAGATGCTGACGGAGTCGTTTTATCTCGTTCTCTAAGATATAATCATTTTGTCCACTCTCATCGTCGTGAGATGCTCTGACAACCTCGGTGCTGTACATGGCAGACTGCGTAAGGGTGAAATGACGAAAGGCACGGGAGTTGATATGTTGCTTAGAAACAGTCAATCTCGAGAATCAATTCATTCAGCGACTTACTGTACAAGGAGAAACAAACAGCTCGAGGGATATTTAAGGATGGGCAAGAGCGAAAAGTAAAAAAGCTTATGTACGCAGGCAGAAGCGAGTAGCCGATTATTAATCTACAACAATGATGCAATTTTCCCATGTGGAAAGGCGGACTTGGCTTTGTCAAAGGATTGCTGAGAAAGTTGGTCTGGCTAAGAAAGCTCGCTTAAAAGCAAGCGCGTTTGGTCGGCATGCCCTACTTCTTGAACGTGAGTGGATGGATTGATTGGTAACTTGTTTACATCGGGTACGGCTCGCTGAGGGCCGAGCCTTGCTGACCACTTCCCGGGTAATATTATCAGTAACCTCAATCAGAGGGGCGGACACAGGTAATGCATCAAAATGATACTGCAAGTGATATCCTTAATTTCATTGGAAAAGAGTGCACAGTCTCGGAAATAAGGAACAAGAACTTCTTTCCCTTATATGGGCGACAGACCCTTTCTTTATACGTGTTAATAGACCTTATCATATCAGTCTCATGTGACTGCGGGGAGTCAAGGCTGAAGCGGGGGCCTCGGATCAAAAGGTTCAAAGGGGAAATGTCGATTATTCCGGACTAAACGAGGTCTCGCCAAGTAGTATTGCCGGCCAATGACTGATAAGCCAATAATAACGGGTAGTTAACCGTTCTATGTTAGCCACGACATGAAGGCGCTTGGATATCGGTCCCCCCTCTTTTGGGGATGAAGGATGGAGGCATTATTGAGTTATCATAAGCCAGCCTGTCTATAACCAAGACTTCGTGATTGGACAGGTTCTTGAACGAATCATTTACGTCGCTATCTCGAAGACTAGCTAAAGTCATATGTGGTTGATCTTTGTTCTTGGCATGGAGTCAGGCGCCAGGCGCTCATAGCCTATACACCCTGCCCTCAAACGGCTCAAACGCAGCCCCAGAATGGTCGTCGTGGGTGTGCACAAGCAGCTCGGCATTCTTGGGAGTGGCCACTGGCGGCTTGTCCGCCTCAGTGGAGAGGTTAATAAACACGACCACCTTGTCAGACTCAGTTGTCTTTTGGTATACCAGGAAATGCTCGCTCTCCCAATCGAGGAACTCGAATTCACCGTACACGAATGAGTCCTTCTGCTCCTTGTGCAGACGCAGCATCTTCACCCAGAAGCTTTATACGCTCTTCGGGTCGTCCCTTTGATCCGCAAGGTTGATGTCGAGGTTGGCTCGCGAAGTCCAGGTAGTCTTGTTGACAGAGAACGCGTTTCCACTGCCATCCCAGTTGAAGGGCGTGCGTGCGTTGTCTCGCGCCATCAGGGCAAGGTTCGCGAGAGCCTCGCTGGAGCTGACTCCGTTCAGCGTTGCGTTGTTGTAGTAGGCGATGGAGTTGAGGTCTCGGTAGTCGGAGATGTTCCGTGCGTCAGGCACGTTGACCATGCCAGTTTCCTGGCCCTGGTAGACGAATAGGGTGCCGGAGAGCGTCGTCAGGAGTACGGAGAGTGCTTTACCGCTCTGGACGTGGTATTTGGGTGCATCGTTTGCGAATCTGTTGATCGAGCGCGGGAGATCGTGGTTCTCGCAAAACTTTTGATTTAAAGCGGTTTCTCAGAGGCTTTACATTTGCCAGTATCACCCTGCCATCACATTGGTTTTTGAATAAGTATTTCTCTTCCTTTCAACCAGCTGTTATCTACCCATCCACTAACGTGGAAATAAACAGTAATCAAGTAAGTACTTGGACAAAGGTCTTAATGCAGACCCATTTCGAGGTAATTCGCCCATCGACTATTAACTGACCCATGAGACACTTGCCATTGCTGCTATCATTGATGTTCCCTCCTTGATCCACCGTTACTTTTATCCTCCAATGACCAAGAGGAATCATATCGCATGGACTCCCTATGAGGAGAAAGACCTCATTTCCTGGGTAAAGCGCCATCCTGAGCTGTCATGGGAGGCCAGGGCTGAGAGATATTCGTTGGAACCTGGCCACCATGAACTAACTGCAGAATCTATGCATTCCAAGCATCGCCAGCTATGCCGAGGTATCCATCGGTACTGTCAAATTCATAATGGCTTCCCAGACCAGCAGGTTTCTATCCAGCAGGTACGGTGCCAAAAATGGAGGCATGTGGGCCACAACACAGATCAGGCTATTCCCCCTCCTCCAACCCCCACGCTGCAAGCCCGGGGCAGTAGGATGCAGGCTGTTGCCCAACAAATACAACAACGCCGTTGAATGCGTCGAGTACAGTTTTACCATTGAAAAGGTGTTATTCTTGTGAAGAGTTTCTTGCTTTTAGAAAAGAAACATTCTCTCTGTGCGAATGAGATTGGATATTTCCTTAGTGGCTGCTCTTGCTCATCAACTTGGCTTTTTAACTGATGAAATAAACATCCTCCGAGCCCAGGACTTCAATCGTGTCGATTCAGATCAAATGTTGCGAACATGAAAACAACTCCTCAGTGGCGACCCCCCCCCCCCCTACCTTCTGAGCGAGTTCCCGCACTGCGGAAAACTCGAATCTTATATTCAACTTCACGCGGAATTGATTGATACTACTTTCAACGACGTCCTCCCCAGTTGTCGCTGACAATGGGGGGTGCAAAGAAGAAAGGGGTGGTCAGAGCTGCATCTCCATGGCCCAACTGCTCATACAATCATAAAGACCACAACAAAAGCGCCCATGCAGCTGCCATCCTCACAGAAACAGCAGAGCTGAAGCAAATTGCTGACTGGACCCAGGGGCTACCCCCCTGGGATCTATTCATCTGGTTTATGAGTTCAGTCAAAGATCTTGCAGCAAAGGTGCATGACCATGCCAGCAACAATGGCAGTGAAAACCATGATGGCCAGAAAGAAGTACTTCAACAGATCCAAGATATGTTTGATAAGCAGACAGAGGAGATGAAAGCTCTACAGTACTTAATGCAGTCTCTGAAAGCAACCAATAGCCCCCCAGCATCTAATCCCTCCAGCCATGCAAACTCTTATCAGGATGTGGCTCTAGCAAGTCACCTGATGTCAACAAAGTCTTCTTTGGTCTTGAACTGGATGCAGGGCAATACCAATGGATCCATTGGTACAAACAGAACACTAAGCACCTCTCCAAGCAGCCAAGCAACCCCATTTCCACTGAAAACAGACCTGGAGATCCATATCTGAGGTACAGACCACCAGATCGTCGACCTGTTGTGCCACCAGAAGGAGGCCAAGGTTGTGGAGCAGGCAAACTGGGGACTCCTAGAAGGACTAACTCAGCTCCCTTTTCCCTGTGATAGCAGCCTCTGCATGTGATTTGCTGTTAACTACTATGCTCGGAAGGATGTCATAGGCAATATTCGAAGTGAATAGAGGAAGAACTCTGATTGAGAAAACTATCTATCGTAAGGCCTATTTATACGCAATAACGAGTAATTGCTAATCTATAGTCGATGGATGCTGGCTGCATATCCGTAGCCCTCGAGCCTATCATCGTCTAGTCGTCTCAGTCCATGCATATATCCATGCAGCAGTAAGTCGTACGTTCCGCGTAGGCAGGAGGCCCAAGGTCCGATTGGTCAATTGGAGCGGCCAACATATCAGATGTTTCGGCATATACGGAAGTCAACATTTGCTACACAGATTATTTTAATGGTCTGAATGTATACTAAATTGTTACCGCGGAATGACTATTTAGGCCCGATTTTCCAAATTTCAGTAGAAGCCAGCAGCCCTCAAAGACTTCCACGAACTCCCCACATCAAGAGGTCCCCAGGCAATATAGTCACCGGGCAAATCGACGAGAACATACCGTGTACCAGAGAAGTAGTACGCCTCCCGTTTCTGCTTTCCTGGTTTGAACACGACCGCATCAATCTTCTTAAACTTGGCTTTTTCCAGGGCTTTGAAGCGCGAGGGAATTTCGCCCCAATCCAAGGTTTTGTTCTGGTAAACATCGATTAAGGCGTATTTGTCTTTACGGAAGAAACAAACGACGTTTTCATAGCTGCTTCCCATAAATGCAAAAGACATTGTAGCATCGACAGTGTCGAAACCAGCGTCTTTAAGACCACTCCATGCGTTGTGGAAATTGAATACAACGCTACCAGGATTAAGCTGGCCAGTTATGAGGTTGACTCTCGCGCATCGAGACTCGCAGAAGAAGTATGCTTCATTAGGATTCCCTGGAGTGGTGAATGCAGCATTGACTGGGGCAAAGCCAACCTGGTAAAGACCAGGCCACATGCCCCAAATGTCCGTCACATTGGTGTAGGTGGTGTCTGTGTATGGATTGACGCGAGTGTACTGTTTGTTATTGAAAAAGTAAATATCATCGCTTGAGGGAACTGGGACAGCTGCTTTGACGGAGCTTGCAAATCCTAGAATTCCCTTTACTCGATCTAGAGGATCGACGTTGGCTGGGATAGTTGAGTACAGAACCATTCCATTCTTCTGGAAGTCCTTGATGACCTGCTGGCCACCATGTTCCAAGCCAATCCACTCAACGAATTCGTTGGCTCTTTCCTTATTATTTGCAAGCTTGCCAACCAAAACGTGAGCTGGGTTTAGAAGAGGGTCGTTTTCGTCATCTTTCCCTTCGGCCTAGGTTTGGGTGTTAGTGTATGCTGTTGTCAAAGGGTTTAATTTGGGGGTTGTTTTACAAAGACTCTGAGCTTATCTCTGGTTTCATCATCGACCGCCAAATACGTTCCCTTGTCTGTGATAGTGTATTCACCCTTATTGGCCGCCTCCTGGATAGCTTCGAAGGGGAATTTAGAGGACATATGATACCACGCGTTTGGGGTGTCAGCCCATGGCACCTGGCCAATACTGGCCCATAACAAGGACTCTACAATGTTTCCAGCAGACTTGTCATACCTTCATGGTAAGTGTTAGTAGAATTCTTTTTTCTTTCAGAGAAGAAAAACAAGAGGGATCATACCGTGACAAGAATTTAATGGGCCTCGGAGAATGCTTCATCTTTTCCATTGCTCTGAACAACCTGGTCAACAGAGAGTAGATAGTGGACTGGTCATTCTCTGGAAGCTCTGCAGGATTGTCCGTGGGGCCTAGTTATACATGTCAATTAACAGTCTCGACTTAAGGCCAAATGAGCAACATACCGACAAGCATCCAATGATCCCGCCATGCATACGCAACTCGATCAATGACACCGTCATCCCACGCGGTTTGTTCAGCTACAGCATGGTACGTGATACCAACGTCCGCGACTTGGTTGCCCAGATTCTCAATCGAAAAGGTTGTGTCAGACTTGTACCATTCAACAAGGAAAGGCTGGACTCCTTTGAAGTCAACACAACTGTTGGCAAATACGTTAGCATTCAAAGGCTCCATATTATATCTGAGGCAACCTACAATTGGATAAACGCCTTGGCCAACGCCTCCAATAGACCAGACTGACCAGATCCGCCAGTAGCTATACGGAGATCAACCGGCCCGGGAGGGACGCCGTAAACAGCGGAGGGTGCGACAGTCATTTCTCGAATTTACAATGCTTGAAATGGATATTTCGGCAGAGTATTTGATTTAAATTCCCCCGGAGGCTGGAGAGTTTTTTGGCCATTTTATAGGATAATTTCATCTTGGGCCGAATATCGTCAACAATATGGCTGGCTGAACTTACGTGTATGAATGCGATGACGATCTGTCTGGACAACGCATACTCTGTACATGATCCAGGTAGACGAGAGTATGATATGATGCGGAGTTCCACGTCAATTACTTGATGTAGTCCAATAATGTTATGAATATCGGAGTGGGGTAGTCAATTCAGAGCTGAGATTATGCAGAAGAATTACACATCCCATACACTGCAGCGACGCATGCGATGGGCCACCAGCCCAGACCATGACCCTTTAACATCGCCATTAGAACGATGGGAGCGACGAACCGCAATTTCTCAGGACAAGCTGGAGATTATACATCCACATGTGACCTCGCCTTGGTGGTCAGGTCTGAAATCCCATGTAGCAGAAGCTCGGGAAGCTGCTCTAGCAGCTCACAATGCCACCTTACACAGCGGAGCCAACATTGTCGCGTACACAGATGGCAGTTTGACAGAACAGGGAGTTGGAGCAGCAGCAGTTTCACCTCTGGGGCACCAGGCTGTCTGCATTGGCTCCCCAGCTACCCACACAGTATATGCAGCGGAATTACAGGGCATAAAAATGGCGCTTATCCAAATACACAACACAGGTGGACTAGCATCACAATGTTCCCATCAGACCTATATGGCAATTATCTTTACAGACAACCTGGCGGCAATACAAGCATGCTCAGCTCCAGGAAGGTCTTCTGGCCAATATATCCTGAGTGAAATTACATGCACTGCATCTCAACTACAGGAATGTGGCTGGGATATATGACTGTATTGGCTCCCAGGTTATGAAGGCATCTACAGTAATGAGTGTGCTGATGCTCTTGCAAAAGAAGCTGCTAATTCCCCAGCACCCAATGGCGCAGAAGAGCTCACTCTCATGGCCAGCACTTGAAGAAGCCTCTGCATAGAAGCAACCAGTGCATGGAAGACTGAATGGGCTGCTTCTGTTAGGGGTTGAACTTGAGTTGTCTTAACTAAAAGCTACCCTTTATCGTACAAGAAGGAATCGTTGAAGAAGAAACAGACGGAGCAGAAGCGAAGGCAGTCTTTTATGGACATCCGGGGATGACACTCTTTCCTTGGAAGTCAGGAGTCGTATGAAGGAGTCACCGCTAGTCCTTGTATGCAGAGGGTTCGTATGAAGGTCGTCAATAATTGATTCAGAACCCTTGCAGGTTGCGTTCCGTGCTGGCCTTGGCCGAACCTGTCATCTTTTGGGTTCGTACGAGAACCCCATAACAGCTTCCACCCATGGGAGCTCTCTCCGTCGCTTATGGAAAGAGCCTTCAAAAGCACCAATGTGACTATACCAAGGCCTTCAGAGAGCCACTACATCAGTTCTCATTCAAATGCAAACTGGAAAGATTGTGCTGGCTGGTTATCTTGGTACCTTCAAAGCTATGGAATCGACTGAATGCGCCTGTGGATGCAGCCTTCAAGACATACACCATATTCTCCTCCACTGTACCAACCAGGCAGGACCACAGACACGCCATCTTACACAGGGGTCAAGGCAGGAGCTGGATTACTGAGCTTACCTAACTCAGCCAGACCTGGTACCAAAGGCGGTATGATTCATGCTTGAGACAGGTCTTCTAAGCCAGTTCCAGGCTCTACCAACCACATACTGAGTCACAACAACAGACACGAAGCAACTGGCAGCATAGTGCAGCTGAGGTTACACGCTTGCAGAAGTAGGGAAGGAAACAAGATAGTATCCAACAGGCCCATGGACCTTCATGGCCATGGGAACAGCAGTACAAAAACAGTAGCACGGGACATACAACACGCGGAATAACATTATCAGGATCTATGTAGAAAGGCGATGATGTACATAGCGATTACCACTACGGCGGCTTACCCGGCCGCCCCGCAGGACCTGCCGCCACCCGGCCTATAGGGTTGACAGATGCGTGTAGTCCACACTGATCATCACACTATGAGGTGGCAATTTCACCTGTCATCTCGCTTACCGGCTATCCACTAAACTAGAATTATGTAGTTAGCTGGTTGGTTGATTAGCTACCTAACTATGGGGCATGAGGAACCCGGAAGTACTCTGTACATACTCAGGTAGATGATATCGGGACCCAGAGTACTGATGAGTGGATGAGTAACTATTCTGACACCCCATCTTAGCATTCTAGCCAAAATGTGAACCTTAATTTTGACATGTGCATAGGACTCCGTGCATAACTGTATTTATTTTTTTATTTTTATTTATTTTTTTTTTAAAAAAAAACTCTGAGATGCTGGGCTTATATAAAAAGTGATGTATAATTACGAGCAAAGTTCCTCCGTTCCTCCAAGCTTTACCGAGTGGAGACTTGTGGCAATCACTAACTTTGGTTGTGCTTTATCAACTCCCCGAGGATTGCCCATCTGCCATATTATTGGCGCTCCCCGCATCGAATCTCCAACCCTAATCCGATCCAATTTTTGTGCAAATTTTCCCCTGTGGTTTTTCTGGCTCTTCTTCCTTTAACCCACCGACTATCTTTTTACACCTTTCTGTTCATTTTCATTTTCATTTTTTTTGCTTTTTCTACGATTTTTAAGGCGTTACTGTTCAAGTCTATCCCTTCTCTTTCTGGCGGCCGTAGCTAGTCCCCACAATTCCTCGTATTGGGTTCTCTCGGGCTATTCATTCATATCTTTCAATCCTTTTCACTCTTTAGCTCGTTTCCAGCATGTCAAGTCCCGCAAACGAAAAGGCCGACCCCAAGCTCCACGATCAGAACAGTTTGAACGATAGCTCCCCTACGACCGACGACGACCACCAGGTTCACGATAGCTCAGATATTAGTCATGGACCTTATTTGAAAGCCAAGACCCCCGACGACCATGATGCCTCGTCACTACGTTCTCGGTATAGCACCAGGGAAACGAACACGCGCCTGGAAGATGACCTTGCCGTGATGGAAGCGGAGCGCGTGGTATCGCAGTCCACTCATGATGCCCAGAGCAAAAAAAGTCGCGATCACCACTCTACTCGTTCCCGCCGATCTGACGTGGACGAGTTCGACGAGGCAACAAATCCATTACACGAGCGCGCCGCCCTCTACCAACCACCAGAGAAACCTACCACCAAAGTTGCCCGTTTTGTCAAAAAGCTCCACGAATCAAGCTTTGTCGTTCGCTATCTCACCTACATTGTGCCATTGGTCGTGATATTGTTGGTCCCACTGTTGGTGGGTGCGCTGGCTTTTCCGGAGGCCAATGTGGGTGGTGTTTCGCTGCTCTGGTTTTCGGTTTGGTTGGAAATCCTCTGGCTAACTGCTTGGGCGGGAAGAGTATGTGTGACCGTTCTATTCCAATATCCGACCAAAAAAAAAAAAGTTTGATGCATGTGAGCTAACATCATATCTATCATTGCTAGATTGTCGCGAAGTGCCTTCCGTTCCCCGTGAGCATACTTGCCAGTATCTTCACCAACAACGCGAAAAAATGGCGAGACGTAGCCAAGCAGTTGGAGCTCCCCGGGACCTTCTTTTTCTGGTTTCTGGGTGTCGAGATTTCTTTCCTCCCCACGATGAAAAATCACCATGTGGACGGCAACAAGGACACACGCGGCTGGGAAAACACGGTCAACAAGATTATCATTTCAATCTTTGTATGGACGATTCTGAATCTCATCGAGAAGTTCCTTGTCCAATTGATTGCTATGAGCTACCATTCGCGAACTTATTCCGACCGGATTGAGATCAACAAGTTTCAAATTGGCGCCCTGGCCAAAATGTATGGCTTCTCTCGAACAAAGTTCGCCGATGAGAAGGACTACTCTGGAGACCAGCAAGGCCAAAGCACCAATGGCTCGCATTTTATGAAGCCTTTGCAATATGCTGGTAAAGCACAGAAGGTGGCCAAAGGTGCTCTAAATAAGGTTGGCGATATGGCAGGCACAGTTGCTGCTGACTTCACCGGCCGCAAAGCCACTAACCGTAATGATCCTCATCAAGTTGTCCTCGCCTTGTTGCGGACGGTCCCAGGCTCTCAGGGTCTGGCTCGTCGACTCTATCGGACCTATAAGCGTGATGAATTTGACACTATCCTCCCTAACGACCTAAAAGTGACTTTTGAGGATAATGAAGAAGCCGAGACTGTCTTTGCAATGCTTGACAAGGATTTGAATGGGGATCTTTCCATGGACGAGTTGGAAGCGGTCTTGGTGGAGATTGGTCGTGAACGAAAGGCGATTACTTCCTCTCTGAAAGATCTTGACTCTGTGGTGTCAAGGCTTGGTAATGCCCTGGATGTCTTTGTTTTAATTATTACCCTGATGGTTTTCCTGTCATTGATCTCCACCTCTGCATCTGGTGTACTTACCTCTGCGGGCTCTACCATTCTTGCTCTATCTTGGCTCTTCTCTACTACAGCAGTCGAGTTCCTTCAGTCAGTTATCTTTGTGTTTGTCAAGCATCCGTTTGATGTCGGTGACCGTATAACAGTCTATGGTAATACTGGGGCTGCTGGTCTTGGGGATGACTATTTTGTGAAACAGATTTCCCTGCTGTACACAGAGTTCAAGAAGATGGAGGGTCATATTGTGCAAGCCCCTAATTCTTACTTGAGCTCACTTTTCATCCTTAACCACCGCCGCTCTGGTGCCCTCGCGGAAGCAGTTCCCATTGTGATCAAGTATGGCACAACAATTGATCAGGTTGAAGCTTTCCGCCTGCGCTTGCTGGAGTTTGTATCTAGCGAACGCCGCGATTTCCAGTCCAACATCCTCACTGAAATGCGGGAAGTGACAAATAACTTCTCGGTGACTCTCAATGTCGTCTTCTTCTATAAATCCAGCTGGCAAAATGAAGGCCTTCGCCTGCAACGGCGCAACAAGTTCATATGCATGCTCATGGTGGTTCTGCAAGAAGTCGGTATCCAGGGACCACACATGAACTGGCCCGGTGCTCGTCTCGACATCCCCTTTCATCTTGCAGGTCTCTCGCCATTCCTGTCTGGCTCAACAGCCGGCCACCCTCCTCCTGCGGATCCCTCCACCGAAAATGACCTTCCTAAGAAGAACACCGAGGACAGTGGCGACGGAGCTGCACGCCATCCCTCCATCCTCCGTAAAGGCATGGACACAGCTGCCGCGCAAGCTCGGGGCGACAGCAAGCCGTCTCGCAAGCACGTGGACTTTTCGCTCGGTATGCAAAATCTTTCTTCTGCAGACATGATGGGAGACGTGTTTGATGAGCGGACGAACCGCACCGAAGATCTTCTTCGCCGGGCGGCGGCTGTAAAAGAAGATCAAGAGGAAAGGGAATGGAGTGAGCGACACAGCCAGAGCCAGAGCCGCAGCTCGTCCATTCAACATCCTTCTCAATCCGACGCGGGCGAAGGTCGACGTTCGATCGAGTCTCAACATAGCCGCTTGTCCTCTGCTAGCCACCGTCGATTCTTCCGCCATAGGAACAACGCGCGTTCTCAGAATGATCCTGATGTGGAAGGAGGGTATGACCATAACACGCAGCTTACCACTGCGCCCACCGCCCCGGACCACCGGGATCATCATTAACACTAATATTTGTCCCTTGAATGTTCTTTTTTGTATACTAGATGTACTTTATTTTCTATTCAATTGATCCCTATACTGCTGATATCTCGTTGGAACCAATTCATACGACGCAGTCGAGTAAGATAAATTCAACGTCACCTTATCCAGAGGGTCTCCCTTTCCTGCAGCTTCTTTGAATGATCTGGCCCCCATTTTAAGGAAGAATAATTTCATCTGAGGCACCACCCATTTAAAGTTCGAGCCGCCGATTTTCTCGACTGGGACCGACCTTATCGCGACGGCATATGAAACTTCTCGGTTGACATCGATGCTCGCATTTCTCAATGAGGCCGCGACTTAAGTCAGCAGTCTACTCCCTGATCACTCTGGACACGTACCGCTCTGCTCTGGATACGCTACGGGCTGCTCAGGGCTGCTCAGGGAGCAAAAAGTGGTGGGAACTCGATTGAAAGGCTTCCGCAGAAAACATTTACAGTAGTCGGCCTGATTAGCGGAGCCGACAGTCTCATATAGGACACCGTAGCCATGCGCAATGGCGTAGGCAATATTTCCTTCCCACCTCTTTAGCAAATTCAGGACTAATAGGCTTGGGTCTCCAGTAAAATCATGCAGGATGACAGGAGATGGGATATATGGTGTATAGATATACCTACGCTTGCCTTCTCTGGTGGTCCATCGAATCCTCTTTCCGACTTCCTCCTGGCCAACTCCGCTCTTCACCTAAAGCATCTCAGCCCACACGACAAGTCAGTGGCTTTCGCATCATCTTATTATCTTGACTTAGGACCAGCAAAATTCAATGAGGTACTTCCGAAGCTCAGCGAGGAGAATTCTCCTCTAATATTCGCTTCGAGCATACTGATCGCTCTTCATATACTGCACTCTCGCCAAGAAAATCAATTTGCAGTCCGTTACTCGGTCCCCAGTCACTGGTTTCGCGCTTTGCAAGGTATTGAAAGTATCACAACCATCGCACGATCATGGCTACGAAAGACAAGATTTGCACCGCTCTTGCTAGATAACCAGTGTCTATTATCCCCTTGGGCCATGAAAACGGACTTTTTTTTTGCACCTCTCTTAACAGGGGTCAATAGCGATCCATTAGACCCTGAAATAGTTGCAACTTATTAAGGTTACCGTGGGCTACCTTAACTGGCTATATGACTCCTACCTAGCAGGACATCAGAGCTGTTTCGTACAAAAAAACATTATCGGCTTCCCAGCTATTATTTCGGCAAAATTTATCGATCTCCTAGAAGCTCATGATCCGCGGTATTTAGTCATTACCGCGCATTTTTTTGCACTGATTACATTTGTGGATGATGTTTGGTGGTTGCAGGGTGTTGCGGTAAGGGAAATACTGGGTATTTTTCCCCTCGTCCCTGAGGAATGGCAGTGGATGATGGAGTGGCCACTTATTCGGATCAAGAGTGATTGTCGGAGTGTTACTGTGCCGAGCTTTGTCAACCAGTGAGAGGATATCCACAATCCATTGGATAATACGACATCAGGTCTCCCAAAGTAGATTTTCTCTTATATTTAACAGCGCAGCCCTAAAATAGAGGGTTTTACCTCTCCCGCGAGACCTTTGCTAGAGGGACGTTTATTACATTACTTGCTGCCAATTGAGTGGGGCCGACTTGATCCTAGACGATCGATGGCAGTCCCTTCTGCTTTCCTCCCAATTTTGAGAAATCTTACCCAAACTTTATCATCTTTTAAGACCAATGAATTGCGGACTTCTCGTTGACTACCTAGTAATAGAGGCCTCCGTGCACTTGCCGCTAACAGGCAAAGTAGGATGATATGTAGGCGCATGAGTATTGTGTTCCCGACACTTGAGTGACCTGTCTTGTTAAGGCTGGAATAGCTGCCTTTAAATTATTGATTTTCTGATAAGTTATGAGATGAAGATGGATAGTGGTGTCACGGAGCTCAGCCAGGATAATGGAACATCAACTCATGTGCTCTACCTAGGTAGCTATCGACGAGAATAATCAACATGAGGAAAGAAGACGGTGGCCGAGAGTTCATGCACATCCAGCTGCTCACAATAGCCCGTCGTTCGTTGGAAGCTAATTTTCTGTGGCTTCCCGTCCACGAGAATCGAGCCCGTAATTTCTCCGGAGTCTTTGTGCTGGGCAAGAACATCGAGAAGGCTGAAACATACGATTGTCAGACGGGATAAAAAAAGAAAAAGAATAAATAAATAAACAACAAAAGAGAGGGGGGAAGGAGAGAAACGACTCACGTTATTTTGCCCGCTCCGGAGCAGCCCATCAAAGCAACCAGACTACCAGGCTTGACGAAGCCAAAGACCTGATTCAGAAGTTCAAAATTCTCAACCTTCACATGGTGGAGGGGCATTGTACGGCATATAGATGAACATGAGGGTATGTGCCTCCCAGATACCAGAGTCGAGCTTCGTCGCCAAATTACAGAGTGGGCAGAATTATCAGACAAATGCATCTTTTGGTTGAATGGTATGGCAAGAACAGAAAAGTCTACTATTGCCCGAACACTCGTACAATCCTTCAAAGAAAGGGTAACTGGGAGCCAGTTTCTTCTTTAAGAGGGGTGAAGCGGTGACACGGCAAAAAGACTTATGAGCGTTTCATCAAGTTTGAATCTGGGCCAACCGGTGGAATTGAAGCAGGCTGGTATTTTGGACAATGACCTTTTGTTTTTCACTTACTTGGTTTACTCAACCGAGTTCCAGCCTCATCTTTACAGTCTTTAATGCGGCATCATTATGTTGATATGGTCTGCATGCAACACTCAGTAGGGAATTCTCGCCTGAAGCAGCAACAAGAAGAGGTCATCAAGGGAATAATAGAGAAACGGGCAAGTCTGGGCAAGGTCAGCAAAGAAAGAACAAGGTGAAAGACAGGCATTTATGGCAATTAACCGGACAAGCTTGTGAGTGGAGACGGGCAAAGCAACCAGAGTCTCTATGAGGACTACATTTTTGGGGGACACTCTTTTCTTCGCTTCTTCATTTCATAGCAATCTCGATTCATTGCCAAGCTGACATCGAAAAGTACCGGGGAAATGAATGGGGCAAAAAAAAAAAAAAAAAAAAAAAAAAAAAAAAAAAAAAAAAAAAAAAGAAAAGAAAAGAAAAGAAAAGAAAGGTTGTCTGCACGGAATGAGATGGTGAGGCGTTCAGCAGTGCCGTGAGACACTTCACATGATTTCCATTTGCGATAACAAGAATGAACTATTCATTCTGTCTCGAATAAGCTAGTTTTGATGAAAGCTCGCGACTCTCAGTATGCAATGTGCTTCGGACAATTTGATGCCCAGGAATGTTTTGCCCGCTCTAGTTTTTTGGTGTTAGCAAAAGAAAAACGGGTTATTAAAAACATGGATCGAAGAAAGGAATTAATAAACGCGCAGGCACTATCCTGAGGGGTGGACATGTTCATCTGACGATCGCTGTCGAGCTACCATCACAGAATAAACAGCCCGTTGGGTGTAGACCTCATTTCTAATATGGGGCTAAGTGCTCAGGTGAGTACTCAGGGCATGCTAAGTGAGCGAGGGCCTGTGCTGGAAACTACTCAGTGAGCACGACCCTGAGCGCCCTCATTAAAGCGGCGGCTGTCTGAACAGGAAAGTTGAGGTGGTTCGAGAAATTCAGAGCCGTATGTGCCTATATGAATTGGATGTTCACGAGTGGGTGGGGCTTTCCTATTTATTCTGTGATGGTTGCTAAATCGTACCCCTAACAGCATCCTAAATTATCTTTTCGTCCTTCCCACTCGGAATTTATAGCATTGTTCAGTAGTACACTAGGACCTTAACCAAGACTCGCTGGACAGACTAGCGTGTGACCGAGGGCCACCGTACTATGTGTGGAGGGAGAGCCGGAGTCCGGAGGGCACGGGGCGATGGGGTGACTGACTATGATTCCGAGGAATTGTAAACCCGGTTCATATTAATACGCCAGTCACCGGGCCCCCACCCGCTCTCCTTGTTCTGGGTTGACATGACTCGAGGCCAATTCCAAGTATCTAATCCGATACATCATTCATGGGGAAGTAAGGTTCTCCCACCTACCTCGTATTTTACCCCGGACTATTAGCGCCGTCTTGGGTAGAAACTGATGGAGAGGCTGCGTGCAAACGGAAGGGCGCCCTGTCGCCCATGGACCCACAGTAGTGTATCACTATCTCATCCGACATCTCTGCAGGATTCGGTCTGTATGGGTCATGAGTCAGGCCGTTCCCGTCATGGCATCTCGGCTCGTGTCCAGATTGTCCAGCCTTGAGCAACCCCAGATTTTCTGGGGGTTCGGAGGCTAGCGAGTCCGGGGCCCCATGGGGTATTAACGATCACCAGACTATGTAACAGTCGACCATCATGGAGGGATGATGTCCCGGGGCTGGAATCCCGCTGGGAAACTAGTGAAGTATATAAAAGCCAAAGACCATAGGAACATGCAGCAAAAGGAAAGTGCCCAATGTGATATATCTTAATTAACATGTTAGAACTACAGGGCCGATCACTGCAGGTGGCCATTGCGGTTAGCGCAGGTAGCGCCTACCTGCTTTTTGGATACGACCAAGGGGTTTTGGGTGGCCTGGTGTCGCAGCCGAGCTTTTTATCCGCCATCGGTAATCCAAGCTCCCAATACTTGGGGACTATTGTGGCTCTGTTCAACATTGGCTGTCTTGGCGGGTGCTTGGTATCGGCCATCTTTGGTAACCAGCTGGGTCGAAAGAGAGTCATCATTCTGGGCTGTGTGATCATGACCATTGGCGGTGCCATCCAGGCTAGCACATACGGGGCGGGACAGCTGATTGCAGGTCGGATAATCTCAGGAATTGGAAATGGTATACATTCCAGCATTAATATTGGCTCTTCACTCACTAATAGAACAAAATTGTTTTGCAAAAAAAGGCATGAATACGTCGACGGTGCCCGTCTATATTTCTGAGACTTCCCGTAGTGCCGTGCGCGGGAGGTCTCTCGCCATCCAGATGTCGGTTGTGATTGTGAGAAACCCCTACTTGACTGCGCCAACATGAGGTTGCTGATAGTCACTCAGTTTGGCACCGTTGTTGCTTATTGGCTCGACTATGGCATGATTCGAAGCCAAATTGGCGAGGTACGCTCGTTTTCACTCGTGAGAATTATACCTCCTGACCATTCTTTGACCAGGTTGTCTGGCGGTTTCCTTTGGCCTTCCAGAACTTCTTTGCCTTACTGACCGTGTTCACCTTTCCCCTACTGCCAGAATCTCCTCGGTGAGTCATTCCCATATTTGGCTACGTACGATCAAAGCAGCTAGGCTTAACTATTTCAGATGGCTTTACTCGCATGGCCGCCAGCAAGATGCCATTCGCGCACTCTCGCAACTACTGGCCTTGCCAGAGGACCATCCAGACGTGCATGTCGTTGTGGCCAAGATGGAACAGGCCGTCTTGGTGGAACAAACCAACGAGTCAATATTCACCTTCCGGAGTATCTTTTGTGAGACAACGGATGTCAAAAACCCGCGTCGTTTGGTCTTGTGCTTTATGATACAGTTATTTCAGCAATTCACGGGGATCAATGTGATTGCATTTTACGGTGAGACCCACAAATGACTCCAAGTCAAAAGGGGAGGCAGGGGAAAGGCAACAAGTGCTGACAGGCCAGTCACCATCGTGCTCGAAACTAACGTCGGGCTTTCCCGAGAGCTGAGCAGCCTGGTAGCCGGATTCATCCAGATCGCGTTCTGGGTGGGAACCTTTGCACCGATTTTCCTAATTGACCGACTGGGTCGCAGAAAAGTTCTGATGCTGGGATCAACTATGCTCTGTCTTGCAATGGTGCTTTTCACAGTGGGCATAGCATTGGAAACCCCCGCCTCTTCCCGCTTGGCCCTGGGAATGCTCATCATCTACGAGATCTCCTTTGGTATGAGCTGGAATTGCGTCCCCTGGCTGTATGCGCCGGAGATCACGCCGCTGAACCTCCGGCATGTTGGTGCCGCCATCGGCTGTTTCTCAGAGTGGCTATGGACATTTGTGTGTAGTTTTTGATTGTCTGTTCCCTATATGTGAATCAGTTAACAAAATTCTTCATGCTAGGTGATCGCCCAGATGACTCTTCCGGCTATTGACAACACCGGATGGAAGATTTATATTCTTTTCTGTATTATGCTTGCGCTCAGCATTCCATTTGTGTATTTCTTTTTGCCGGAGGTTCGCATCCTTTACCTCCCTCTTGCTTCCCTTTTATCCTTTCAGAATTCGGTTGGCTGATTAAACCTCTTGGAGCAGACTAGCGGGAAGTCTCTGGAGGAGATCGATTACATCTTCGTCAAGCATCGGGGCCAAATTAACGAATAACCGGAGATCACTTGTACTTTTTAGATACAGTGCCATTCCTGTAAATGAATCTTTTTTTCTCGAGATCAAGATAGTTTATGTCCCCAAAGACCAAAGATGTATCATCTCTACCGTTCCTAGGGCTTGGCAACCTGGAAGGTATAGAATGCAAATTAAACATAACTAACCACCTTTATGCTCTTTCTTAATAATACGTTGTGCTTCTTAATTTAAATTTAAATTTTTTTTTTTTTTTTTTTTTTCAAGTCCATTTTTGTTTAAACGGTGTTTATTTTGATATATATTATAATAAAATGCTAAACATAAATAGTAGGCCACTGACGTTCTCGGATCTTTTAGGACTTTCCTGATGGGAAAATCCCCAAGTGTTGATAGCCATTAAACAAAGTAAATCATATGCCCACTAGATCCTTCCGCGAGTTAAAAACCTATCCAGAATATCCACATATTTGCAACGAAGATATTCGGCCAAATTCTTGCCCAGCACATCATACGTGGAACTTGACGCCACGCCACAGTCCAGGTGGTCCTTCAATTAAAAAAAAAAAAAAAAAAAAAAAAAAAGCACAGCTAGAAATAAACATATTAGTAGTGTGACGGTCTCGAGCAATATGAATATATTGGTAGACTATCTGACGAAATCCTAACATGAGGAGAGAAAGGAAAGAGGCAGGTCTGTCGGCGACGAGCTATCTAGTGTGTGCGAGGGGTTTAGGCGATGCTCAGTGAATGTCCTACGCCAAACAGGCCCAAAGTAATCAAACCTGCTATACAGCTCGCGAGCGTCCATGCTCCGTGACAAGCATCAGCGGTTGGCCATTAGCCGTTGACCGTCACAATGAGTGGGATTGGTTGCAGTCCTTGCTGACCATCAACAAATTCTGAGGCTGCTTGGCGTAGAACATTCACTGAGCATCGCTTAAACCCCTCGCACACACTAGATAGCTCGTTGCCGACAGACCTGCCTCTTTCCTTTCTCTCCTCATGTTAGGATTTCGTCAGATAGTCTACCAATATATTCATATTGCTCGAGACCGTCACATAATCTTTCCAGCCCCACATGCTCTGTACACACTCTGCAAGGCACACACAGTCAAGCCTCCCCCTCCCGGTGGTGCAACGCGTTGGTTAGGCATCTGGTTTGACTGGAGGCTGAGCTTTAGCAAACACTGCAGGACCCTGGCTGCAAAAGCCAAGCAGACAGCCGCTGGCATCAAATCACTAGCCAACACAGTCCGAGGTGCTAGTGCACACCTACTGCAGCATGTCACAGTTCCATGTGTCATCTCAGTTCTCTGCTATGGGGCTGAGGCCTGGTGGCCGGGCCGACACAGGCCCTGAAACCAGACATATATATCAAACTGAGTTGACTCCGCCCTATCCTGCCTCGACCGGGTGTTCAGAGATGCTCTCTGGGGTACTCTTCCAACATACCGCACCACCCCTATCCCAGTCCTCCATCGGGAAACCGCCATACCCCCCATGGAGATCATCCTCAACCAGAAACGCGCCGCTGCCAGACTGCGTGTGTCCAGATTGGACAATCGCCACCCACTTTTCAGACGCTCATTCTGAACACGATCCTTCCCTTCAAACACACGCCTAACCCGCAATCATCTGCCATGACTGGAGGGGATAGAACATCATGTTCCTCTTCACGGACGGCAGCCGCTTGAATAACTCAGACACTGTGGCTGGCGCTGGGTGGTATGGATACTGGGGAGCTTGGAAGCAGGAGTCTGCCTGCGGCCATCTCTCCCTTTCACATCATGAAGTCTTTGATGCAGAGGCCACCGCAGCGTATGAAGGACTAAAGACGGCCATCAATAGTGCCCAGGACCCCTACACACAGAACTTATACCTCCTTCTTGATAGCCAGGAAGTGGCACGACAGCTGCAGGGCCACCCTAGAGGCTCTAGCCAACAGACCATCCAGGCATTTCAAGAAGCTGTATATGCCTGGCCCAACCGGTCCTCCCGATGCCAGGCTATCCCACCTGGACAAGTGCATGTCTGCTGGATCCCGGGACATGCCGGCATTCCAGGGAATGATAAGGCTGATGAGTAATCAAAGAAAGGAGCTAGGTCTAACCCACAGACCCAGCCCCCTCCCACAAGACTTGCCTGGGCTTGTTGGACTTTGAAGGAGAATTTCTGGCGTCAGTTCCAATCATTCTGGGCTGAGAGTGCGCCAAAACAATATCAGGAGCTCTCCATTGACCTGGATAAACGACCCCATGAACTGTCCCTCCCCAGAGCCACCCTCGGCCGACTCCTTGCTGCCCGGACAGACCATGGAGACTTTGCCCAGTACCATGAGCAATTTGGGCATGAAGACGCGAAGATAGAATACTCGTGTGGAGGCCCAAAGACTCCCCACCACTTTTATTAGTGCTGAAAAGGCCGCAAGGCATTCACCCCATCCAGGGGGGCAGAGACAGGTTGATGAGATACTGCGATCCAAGTCAGGGATAAAGGACTTCCAGGAATGGCTTCAGAATTCTCACTTCTACCTCAAAATTTGCCCTGTACATTAACCAAAAATTCCTCCTGCACATACCCTCTCCCTCCCCACCTCCCATCAACCATTTATTTCCGCTCCTGCGGCCCAATTTCCATGTGAGCTCCCGCGCGGGAGTGTTGCCAGGTGGTTTGGCCGCCCGCTCATGAGTCAGGGACCATGACTGGTTGGATATCTTCCATGCGGGGAAAAATAAATTCATTCAACCTCAACCAACTCCTTTTCCACATCTTCTCAATACTTTAACTAACAACTCAACCTGTGAATTAATGAATGGATTAATCATGTCTGACTCTGATATTAACCTTGCCCTACCGCGCAATGCCCGGGCCCAAAGAAAACCACGAACAATATCATCGCTGACCACGCAGCAGATCCAGCATAAGCGCGATCTGGATCGGAAAGCCCAGCGCACGCTGCGACAACGGGCCAAGTCCCGAGTGCAGGATCTTGAGCAGGACTTGGCCCGTGCGAGATCATGCTTGTCAGATCGTGAAAAAAGCATGATGGATGAGGTCCAATCTCTGCGGGAAGAGAACCGGCGGCTCCGGTCGTGTCTGAAAAGTATCGGGCAGTTTGCTTTCGGTGGTGTGTCCGTGGAGGAGAATGGTCAGGCCCCTGACTCAGTCCCGATCGCCGAGAATGAGCCGATCGCCGGTACGTAATAGGACCGCATGCCTGCTTGTTACGTACCTACGCCACGAACGCTTGCTTACCCTGATGACTAGACGCGACTGATGGGCCTGGGAATCCTCACGACCCTCAGCTGGGGGATGACTTAACTTCAGAGAATGGACCGGTTGACAGCAGCGATGGTGATGGCAATACAGACCCCATTGAGCGAAACTTTTCCTGGCGCAGCCAGAGCAACATCCAGGGACGCCCGGAAGGTCTATCGGATGCCTACCATGAAAACACAATGTCGACTGGAGTGGAACTACCGTCACCAGTGTCGGAGAGCCTGGCTGGCCAGGGCATCGGCCAACCGAGGCAGCGAGGTGAGCTTGCATCACCTGGTTTCAATGGTCGTAGTTGCAAATTAACACCAAGAGGGAAGATCATTATCTGGATCGTATTACCACATCTCAGAGACTCCAAGATCCTATCATGGCTCCGACTCCAACGTCCTCGATTGCAGTCAACACCGTCCTGCAGGACCCCACGTCCACCGGCATTGCATCCGTGCTTCCCAAACATCACTCCGCAACGTGTCCTTTGGATCAAATCCTTTTGGACTTTATCAGTTCCCGACGCGCTCTGGCGGCCAAGGGTTTTGCCATTAACGTAGTCGTGGGCCCGACCCAGCCATGCCTGCAGGCAGTCTTCAATCCCCTAGCTGCGGCTGGCGTACACCCGACCAGCCGGGTCCTGGCCGAAGTTCTCTCAACATTCCGGCATGTAGCGCTCCCAGAGAAACTGGCCTTTATGTTTGTTATGTTTCGAACGATGAGGGTATGTATAATATTATCCGTGACGAACTGCGCGCGTCCCATCTAATCGACGTAGTGGCAAATATCACCCACCGATGCGAACTACGAAGAAATGCCACGTTGGCTTCGCCCAACCGCGGTCCAGATTACAGTGGCTCATGCGGCATGGATAGATAATATACCTTGGTAGGTTTGAAGGGAAGAAATACACCTTGGAGTCATCCTATCTAACTGTTGCCGAAGGCCGCGCGTGCGCGACATACTGATCCAGAATCCGGAGAAATACCCCTTTCCTCTCTTCTCGGAACTGTACTCGCAAAATGTGACGGTGAATTGGCCGTATGATACCATGGATACAGTTTCACATCAGGGCGATTCTGTTGTATTCAACCCCATCTTCGAAAAACATGCCCGAAAACTGGATAACTGGACGGTTTCTGGTCACTTCAAAGAATATATGCCTGAGATGATGACCGCAATTTACGGGCGTGATTGATATCTCTGGGAGAGGAATATCTACAAGGATCTGGAAAAGGCACAAGAGGTCAGCAACACCCACTTTCATTCAATTAATTGCGCAGCTATGCTTGACTAGGTCCTGATGGAAAATTCCGGGTTAATGGGTAATTAATGTAGCCTACAGGTGATTTGGGGTGTATAGAAAGTAGCCCTTTGATACTGGTTGAGATCAAGGCCTCAGGCCATGCGGAATGGCAAGTCAGCGTTCGCCAGGAAATGACGCCCAAAGGCAATGGCGACGCGATGGTGCAGATGGGCCTGGATAGCCTTTTTCTGCCGACTCCGCTGTAAAGCCGCTGTGACGGCTCAACGGCTCAACGCCAGACAAACAGTGTCAACATGTCAAAAGACGCCATACAAGCAATATGGGCAAACAAGGGCTTAAGCTGCACCACACAAATGTCTATAGAGACTGTTCATCGCCCAGATAGATTTCCTTTTCTTCTTCTTTCCCAAATTCGATATTCTCGTCGATGGCTACAATAGTCTAGATAGGAATTCAATTCATTGGTATCTGCTATTCCGAGCCCGTGACAGCCGCCTGCCAGGATACCGCCCTGTGTTGCCAAATGCATCGAAAAGAAACGTATTATCCTCACCTGCCACTTCAACCGTAGTACTGCCCGAGGTTTGTGGGTCGACGACGTGCAAGTATGCCAGGTTCAGCCGACGCAGGCCCCGGGTGAGATGCGTGAATTGTGGGTGCAAGTCTTCCATGCGCATGCCTTGAAACGTACTCCAAGGGCTGATGCGATACCCCGTTCCCTGTGAACCCACCGCATCTGACACTGCCTTGGCCACTTCCAAGCCAAAGCGCGAACAATTCTGGATGCTGCCGCCCAGCGGTCTTCCTGGGTGTTGCAGGTGACTTGCAGGAATTGGTCACACAAGTAGCTGATCACCCCGTGGATCTCGACACCAGTGAATCCCACAGTGATGGCATCCTTCTTTGCATGGAAGTAGTCATTGATCCAGTCCAGGATTTTGTCTCCGGTCAGAGGCTTTGGAACGGAGCTTGATTCCTTCATGGGAAGGCTTCCACTTGAGATCACTTGGTGACCATCTTTGGCCAGAATCTGCGGGTCTGCAGCGTGACCCAGTGCCCACAGTTGACAGAAGATGAAACTGTATCTGTGAGTGACTGACTACCTGAATGCTGAACAGCCATTAAGTTTTTTATTTATTTATTTTTACTTTTATTTTTCATGATTCCTGATTGGTGCAAGTGTCACGGGCTGAAACTAGTAGATACTAACGAAATGATATTCTTGTCTAAACTAGTGTAGCCATCGACGAGAATATCGAATCTGGGAAAGAAAAGGAGGAGAAGAGAAAGCTATCTACAGGAAGAGATTTTATAGGGGTCGTGTGGTGGTGTTTGTCTTGATTGTCTCGGGAGCATCGTTTGTCATGTCGATATTGGCGTAGATGCGGCGTTGAGCCGTCACAGCAAACACTGTTGATAAAAGAGCGGATTACTTGAAACTCGACAACTCCTTAAACTGGCAGACATTCAACGATTCGCAACTGGACCCGTGCACAGGAATCACTCCGTATCATTGTCCGGGACACACCCCCGTGCATCATGCAGGTCAATCCCGCTCGCAATGGGACATTTATCTGGTTCACAGACCAGTATCACATTCGAGAGAACTGCGAACTGAGTTGGGCCCATGGTTGGCTTCTGAGAGACTACCGCAGCTGGGTCGATGGTGGGCAGTTTATTAGACGATTGCAGAGAGCAATGTCGGCAAAGCTAATCTTTGGCCATGATTATGCTACGGCGGAGGAGCCTCTTCGGGCCAAGGAATTTTATGAATATATTTTTGTTGAGATAGATTATTACAACTATTCCTTTCTTGGTTGCAGCACTCGCCCAGTCACCTTATTTCGGTCTCTTCTATCGTCTCATCCATTTAGGGTATCGCAATACGTTGCTCCACCAGCGTCAACAATTGTCAACTCTTAGCTGCCAGTATGTGGAGTAACTACCTAGTGCTTTCTAGTAATGAATCTCAACCCCAGTCAAAACCAAAAGAGCCCTTTCCCATACCGTATGTCTGCGAGCCAGTCCCGACATGTTTTCTCGAGCGCGTCTCAACTATAACAAAAAGGCTGAATGCCAGGCAGGTGGTGTAGTGGTTAACACCCCTGTGACAGCCTCTGTTTGGAACCAGTATTTCTGATTAGAGGTCGCGGGTTCGAATCCTGCCCCTGGCACCTAAATAACCACACCAACCAAATGGGATTAGTAAACTGGTACTACCTTACCCCCCCGGGAGTGGGTACATGCATAGTCTTAGACTGAAAAATGCTCTATAAAATGGAAGTATCATCATCATCAGAAGGCTGAACGGACTACAGGACCAATGTCAGTAAGTCAAAACCGAAGGCAAAATCAATCCCATAGCGGACTCGAGAAACCCGCGGGATTTGAAAGCCGGACATGCATTACGGAGTACATACACCCACATTTCCTCCCACGCAATCTGCCATACATACACACATACGAGTGCGATACCCATCAGCTGCAACAATTCTTCTTTCTAGACTATCTTTGATTGAACCACCCCAGGTGAACAATGTATAACCCCCCCAAACGAGCCCGAACAGCCCAATCAGGCGCCTGTTCGTACTGCGTCGAGCAGAGGGAGCGCTGCTACATCGGAGTCAGAGGGATTCCGTGCTCCAATTGTCGCCGGTTAAATCTCACTTGCAACGGCACCGCGAGCCCGGAGTGAGTACCCTCCACTGATAATTCGGGCCCATGATGATGATGTGCCGTGGTTTTTGACATGGTTGCAGAGTCCAGGCTAAAAAGCGCCTCCCCTCAGCTACGTATTGTGCGAGTGAGTTGGAATTCGTTATGCGTCTTCCCACCAGTAGTTAGTGCCCTTGTTGATAAAGAATCGACAATAGGAGGGCTTTTTGCATCTCAGATCCGGGAGACCAAGCATGAACATTTGCCCCGAAAGAACTCCATTCCGGCCGTGGCAGCAACCGATCCTCTCGACAATTACATCTCCATCGTCCATCAGCTCCTTGGTCCAGAATCGCTCGAACCACCAATCTCGATCGACATCCCGGACTATGTGTCGGGACTTCCCAATCGTTTGGAGTTGGTCGACCTCGAGTATTTGGAAAACAAGGGAGCCCTGTGTCTTCCGACTTCCCAGTTTCGCAAGGAGCTCCTCAGGAGCTATATCTTATGGGTTCACCCACAGGTACCCGTACTGGACCTGGAGATCTTTTTGCGCACCATTGCAGTCAACAATGGGGACAGGAGTATAAGCCTCCTGCTATTCCACGCGGTCATGTTCGCGGCCTCAGCCTTTGTGGACATCTCACATATCCATAACGAGGGTTACACGTCCCGAAAGGCCGCCCGCGACGTGCTGTTCCGACGGGCCAAGGTACGCGTTGTTGTTATTGTTGTTGTTTGAAAAAAAAAAAAAAAAAATCGATATAATATAGCTCGTGTATCGAGAGAGGCTGACTAGACTAGACGCTGCTGGAGCTCGATTGTGAAGACGACCGTCTTTCGACGGTTCAAGCCCTACTCCTGTTGATTCACTGGAATGACCTGCCCGACGCCGAAAAGGATGCAAGCCACTGGATGGGTATTTGTTCGTCGCTGGCAATGTCCATCGGCCTTCACCACAGCCCCGACAATACAGCCGCCATGACCCCGTCTCAGCGACAGACGTGGAGACGTACCTGGTGGAGCTTGTACAATCATGCTCGACTGACGGCAGAGGACCTGTTGTCCATGATGAGCATTGAAGAAGACCGCGGCGACAGCGAGTTGATTTACATGACGATGGTCACGCTCAACGACTTCCAATTCGGCGTATACTCCCCAGAAGCACGGGCCATCGTGGATGACTGTGAAGTTCTCCGTACAATCGAATACCAAAAGTCGCAGGCCCTTGTATTCATCGAAAAGACCAGACTCTGCCGACTGGCGCAGTTTTCGCGTGTTTCCAACCAGGTCAGCAAGTTGATTCATGAAACAGACAGCCCTGAGACCAAATTGTCTTCAAAGAGAAACAATCTGCACCCAGGCGAAGCTGGGGACCTACACAGATGGCTTTCCCAACTCCCTTCCAACACCCAGCACCAGTACCCACTGGCACTGATCCCAACAGAATGGGAACGAAGCATCTATTTGCATCGAACCTGGCTCCGGCTGCTTTACCTGGGGTCAGCGTATGTGGCATGCTGCGACGAGCTTCGAGCAGCCGGCAATCCTTTCCTCGATCCCTTCCTCGATCCCATGATATGTCCACGATCTGGATTGATGGACCAGTATATTTTAGATATTACAGATCTCTTCGACGAGATCGATAGTCTGGGCCTAACCAAACACCTCCCGAGCCCTTCTACAGCGCTGCTCATCCTGGTATTGACCTTCCACCGGCGCCTCGTCGACACAGGCACACCACTCGAACAGGTCGCGAGCGCCCGCGCACTACATAAATGCTGGAAAATGATGCACAAGCTGCAGGAAACATCTAAGCTGGGGGTTCAAATGATTGCACTCGTCAGAGATACGGTGTGTACTGATATATGGGACCAGCTGTCTTCGAAATTGCTGTCGTCTTGAACTCGGACACTCACATAAATCTATAGAAAATAAAATATAACACAGCAAATTAGTGAATCAAAGCACACTGGATCACGAATAATTGAATAAACCGTGTTATATTCATTATCCAAGCCACACAGGTTACATTCACGAGTAGAAATGAATATACCTGCGACCCCAGAGGGATGCTCAGCGAGTGTCCACATTTGGTGAGGTTAGATTATATGAAATGGAATCATCCCAGAGAAATATATTGGCTAGACAGTTGGACAGTTGGACAAGCAGTTATGCGTCGCACCTCGGATCGGATGTGAGCAGCTCAAGATATATATCTATGCAATATTAACATAGTCATGTCTCTTATTCAGATAAAGACGATTTCTACTACAACCGTTCCCCCACATCCAAATCCCAACAAATACAAAATATAACAATGGCCCTCATCACCACCCCAACCACGAAGGTGTCTATAGATTTCAATGTCACATCCTTCTAATTGACAAGACTGTCATATAGCCTCGTGCAGTCCGGATTATCGACTCCCCCGATTCCCCGATCCTGAGCTATCCGCTCCTTTCACCCCCGAAGGCGGTGGTGGACAGGCTGCATGGGGCGAGGATATCGTATATGGTAATGATGATGATATGTTATCATTTATTCGAGAATGCATTGCTTTCTCTTTCCACTTGTTCCTTTGACAAATCCGACCGATGAAAGGGACAGCTTCAGATGGAGAAATTTTTGTTATTCAGTGCCGGTTTTGCCGTTTCGGGACATGGGATATATCTCTCCGACCGCATTGATCACCATGTCTAGATATTCACTTATTATCGCTTTCTTGAATTCTACGTGACAGCATTGTCAGAAGTCTGTGTTTGTACCAGTTTATCAAGCACACTGAATCAACTCTTGTCGTGGAGTAGTCCTTATGCCTCCGGGCAATTGGAAAAGAGAAGTCATTCCCTGTCTGCGTTGGACAGCGCGCACACGAGCACGGGAATTCACAGACCAAGTCCAATAAAAAGCATTACAGTGAACTCCAGGTCAATGCTGGGTTGGAGTCAATCATTTGTTCGGACAAGACTAGCCCCATGCTAGCCAGTTCCACCCGAGCCCAGATGGCTAGACCACGGAAATCGACCACTTCGTTGAATTGGCCAACAAACCACCTGAGATCTCGAGCCATTGGAGCTTCTGCAACGCCATCTGGCAATTTGGCAATTTAATGCTATTCACCGGGGTAGTCTCAGAAGGCTGGTGTATCTCCGCAGCTCTGGGTATAATGGTAATGGCATTCCGTGTCATCCGCCAAGCAGGAGATCAGACACAGGTTTTGAAAGGTGTCAGACACCCTAATTTTCTCAGGAACACTTCTTTGAGAGAAGTAACCAAATTTACGTTTCTGGGGGTCAAATCCAGCTAACAGGAATTCATTCCTATAGAACATAGAGATTTTGTTGGCTCTGATTCTTCGCAAGTTGACGGGCAGAAGCCTTAAATATTCTGATATGGACAGTCAAAACGTATAAAGAAAAGGAAGAGCCTGTAGGCTGCTACTGGGGTATTCCGAATGATGGCCAATATAGCAAAAGGAGTATTGCTGCATTCAGGGTTGGTATCTACCGCCTAGTTATTTAATAGACTGTCCCTGTCACCCCAATTGCATTCCTTGTCTTTTTTTGCGTGATAGTGCTCATTTCTCGTCACTTCTTGATCTCGAAGTAGACTGAGTCAACCATGTCCTATCACTCGTCTTGCTTCTCGATCAAGTCCCAATACTAAAGCCTATTGCCCCTTCGAAAGCCAAATAGATTCTGACCCGCCACAGAGGGGGAGGACCAGATAAATCCACTTCGTCCAATCGGTTCCTCGGTCCAGCTAGCCAGCTGCTCCAATGTGGCCATGTCACCGTGATTCGCAATGACGCGATGCCCATTCTTCTTCAGACGACACACAATATGGCCAAGACGTGGCTGGTTTTCTCGATCATACTCAACCGTGTATGTCTGGCTCTCAATTAGTAACAGGCCAAAATGCTTAATGGTAGCATAGATACACACCTCGATTATAACCTCCCCTTCCCTATCAAAACTCATCGGGGGCGCATGCTCATGAGTTGAATGAATCGAGGGCTTATCTTCCTGTGGGTAGGGAGTGTTGGATCTCCGGGGGTGTGTAGAGAAACATATTGCATTCTCAGTTGTCAAGACGCCTCCGTTGGCGAGGATGAGGCCATGTGAAAGTTGTAAACTACCATGAAGCTTCCGTAGCTGACGGACCATCTCCGCGACGGCCTATAGGAAATATGTCAGACTCGGTTACAACCGAAAAAAAAAAAAAAAAAAAAAAAAAAAAATTTTTTTGAGGGTTTTGCTCATACGTGCATAGAATAGTTTGCACCTGCACCACCAAAGAAGGTGAGTCCGCCAAGGAGAGTGATTGGCTTTGGAGGGTTGTCATACGGGATTCCCAAATGGCGGCATGCTAATTTAGGAACAATTGGGAAACAACTGCTCATTTAAAAAGGGACCGGATATTAGTTTCAAAAAGCTGTTCATTAAGCATGCAACTCACGAGTAGAAATCAAACATATCAATTTCATCTTTGTGCAGTCCCGACGACTCTAAGCACATATCCAGGGCAGTGGCAATCGCGGGACTAGAATAGAAGTTGGGGCGATCCCAGACTGTAATCATACAAATACTGCTAGTTAGTTATCGTTTCAAGTCGGACAATTTGGAAAGGGTGAGCGTTACAGTCAATGGAGTCCTCCGCTCTCCCACCTCCTAGCGGAAAGATCCATTTGTCCCGCGATATTCCCATTCGCTCAGCACACTCCGTTGAAGTCAAAATGCAAGCACCAGCAATGTTCACATCATTAAAAGCATTCATCAATAACGGATCTGAAGATTTTGGAGTCAGTATATTAATTCTCTCGCTACAAGTTGCTTGGGCCAAACTCACAGGGATGACAGATCATCCTATTCTGCTTAGTGATAGTCCCAATATCCTTCGCTGTGAGACATGGTTTCCCAAAGCTCCATGCTACCGGATGCTGGGATGCAATCTCACTATATTGACCGTACAATGATGAGGACTCTTGGAGATTCTCGAGAGGGGTCTGGCCCCTCTGGACTCGCAATCCGTTTTCATACATTGCGTAGACATGCATAGGAACTCCCACCCGATGAACTCGCCCAATCCCTATGATAGTGAGCAGTTGCATCCACAATGGCTGCCAAAAATCAGAATCATAGTTACCAGTGAGCATGTTAGTGTTATTGGCATAGTAGATGTCGTTGGTCTCCGGCTCGGTCCACGGTGGCGGATACGCGTCTTCTTTGATGAACGACTTCACTGTTCAAGGACCAGTCAATGACCCATCATGTTCTGCGATAAGGCTCGCATTCAAAGTCATTCTAGAGGGACGTACATGATGCCATTGCTTCCCCTCCCACAACAATTCCAACCTCAGTTTGACCTCTTGCAATCATCCGGGCCGTGTCATCAACCAATTGTACGGATGAGCTTCCGGCCAAGATACTGTAAGCTGTATGCGAGGCTTTAACTCCCAGTCCCTCAGAGACCAAACCTGGAAGGTCTTTGTAAGGCCACGTCGAACTAGCCACGACGCTCACACTGTCAATACAGGCAATAAGCTCAGCCATACGAGAGCTGGAAGCATCACAGGCTGCCTCCCTGATCGCATTGAGCATGAGCTGCAGCGGCTCAATGGCATCTTCTCTTCTCCGAGAGGGATTCTTAATTTCACTGACACCTATAATGATGGGCACCTTGTGAGATGTCATAGGTAATTTTGACATGATGTAGATAAGTTAAAACAGGACTTCGCAGATGCACCCCAGATGGAAACATCGTTTGTTATCTTTCTCATCTTTTTTTTTTTTTTTTTTTTTTTTTTTTTTTTTTGAATGGCCCTGACTGACTGACCTCGGCTTGGGTCTAGAGAGTTGTTGCACGGCAATTCTCATAGCCGATTTGGACACTGGACATGGGGAAAGCCGAGGATCCGTCAGTTTTGTAGATCTTGGACATTTTTCCCTGTCCATTCTGATTTGTCTGGTCATACAGCGTCACATAATGCATTTTGTGGCATCTAGCGACCAAAAACCGTCACCATTGAAAGATCAAATCTGACAGCTAATCCGGTTGGATTTCTCTTGTGATAATGTTGCTGTAGACGGATTGGTGCCCTTACTATTTCACAAACTATTCTTACGACGCGGACTTTCTCTCAAATGCTCGCTCATTCATTCATTGTAAAAATACAACCTGTAATGGCGACTGCATACTAAATGTGATTGCAATAGACATACATTCATCTATAGGATATGAAGTTCTGTCAATCAGAGCTTCGATGGCTGATCTACGTATTTTCTAGCTCCTCTCAGCAGTCCAAAGGCCTCAACCACCATCTCCAAGACGATTTCATGTGCGGACTGATCTGCTTTGGTTACCATAGCGGCGCCACATCCCATAGGTCTGAAACAGATTCAGTATAATTCAGAAAAGGAGCTTCTCCATAAACATACCTCTGAGTGGCTTGATCCTCAATCTCATCTGTCAATTTTCTTTCTTGTGCAAGCCTATCCAGCTCGTGATCGAGTACAACCAGCCCCTCGCTCTGCAATTTCTCAATGACATCGCGACGGTTGAGCTCCCAATCTCGGATATATGGTGTTGCTAGAGCCCGCAATGGTCGCCCCGTCCACAGGGTACTTCTCATCGTGTCCTCGAATCCTGCGTCGATGATTCTGCAACAGAAATTCAGTTAGCGAGGTATGAATACCCATGGCAGATGAATCAACTGACGCTTTCTTGCCATGCTTTGAAGCGGCAGACTCGCGTGCCGTAACAAAACGCGTGCCGACCCACACCGCGCCGGCGCCCATCACCAACGCCGCGGCCACGCCCCGCCCGTCGAAGATCCCACCCGCTGCCACGAGCTGGACAGTCCTCCCCGTGAGAGAAGACGTATATTCTCGGCAGACGTCCACACATGCGGGGATGAGCACGCTTGTCGGGATCTCGCCCGTGTGGCCGCCTGCTTCCCCGCCCTGGGCACAGATGAGATCGGCACCCGCTTGGCAGGCTTTGTGGACATGCTGCATCGATAGTCAGCCAGTTGTCTTGAATTAATCCCAACCTAGAAAACCTGCCTTTGGATGGCCGACCATGTTCTGCGTTTCAAGGATCCATTAGCGTTGCATCATTTTTGAGGGTATTATGCACATCGCCAATTCGCCATGCTTACCATGTACAAGATGCCCGCTTCATGCAGCCGATCCACAACTCTGTTCGGAGGGATTCCCACCGCTGACGCAAACAGCGTCGCCTTTTCTTCGATGATAATGTCGACAAGCTCGTCAAGTGCCCCCTTCGTGTAATCGACGTTGGTCTTGCGGGCTGAACCTCCCATCTGGGGGAGGAGTAAGTCCACGCCAAAGGGAAGGTCCGGGTGTCGGAGCTTCTGCTTCACTTCGATAATAGCATCGCGGAGCATCTGTGGCGTATAGCCCAACCCACCGAGCACCCCCAGACCCCCAGCATTAGAAACTGCGGCCACTAGGTCAGCGCCGGCCGTGTGGCCCATCCCTGCTAAGAGGATAGGGTGCTCGATGCGAAGGAGCTGGGTGATTGGGGTGGTAATGAGGGCCATTTTGTGCCTGGGGTGACGATAATTGCAACGGAAGTCTGATTTTGACACACTGGATGTGCTGTGGTAGTGAATGACGGTTTACTCTTATATGCTGTATTAAATATGATCGTCATTTATCGAGATGCGCTTGTTCAAGCGATCGGTGCGGGCCTGAAAGACTTGGACAATTGTCCAGCCTCGGTCTATCAGCGCCGAGGTGGTCTAACATCAAAATGGCCGCCCCATATTGTAACTGCCGAGTGTTGACTTTTTTCTTCGAAGACGGTTGATGAAGAAGCCTCTCTTGCAAAATACCTCTTGTACTCTCCTTGTAATGATGGGGTCCAAAATAAAGCCGTCCAGGCGAATAGTCCTGAAGCGATCCGCAAGAGCATGCTCTGGCTGTCGCTGCCGAAAAGTAAGATGTGACGTGACAACAAGAGGTTCCCCTTGTACCCCCTGTCGGATCTACGATATACCTTGCTCTCTCCCCGTTGATAGAAGGGGGAAGCTGGCCAAGACAGCGGGAAAACAAAACGCGGAAGAGACACCGAGCGATAATGACAATATTAACATGTTTCACTTGATAGGGCCTGTGGGTAAGTGCTGGTGACCGATCAAGATCAACCAAAGGAAAATTAACCCGACTGACAATTGAACAGACCAAACCCCGAATAGTTGGAGCCGAGCAGACAAGAGATCTTCAGGAGCTTTGGATGACGCACTACCGTTGAAAAAACGACCAGTGGATTGGCGTCTTTGGCTGCCGGACTATGCCAGTTCCCTATCGCACACAATCACACGAAAAGACTGCAATATCCTGCACAAGGAAAGCGCTTTCGATATCCCCGATGCAAGAGTCCGGGACGAGCTCTTAAGGAGCTACATTCAATTCGTGCACCCTGCACTCCCAATTTTGAACCTGGGGGATTTCTTGATGGTCATTGATAAGAGCTATACTGGTGGCGCGGGTATCAGTTTCCTTTTGTTTCAAGCTGTCATGTTCGCGGCTACTGCATTCGAGACAGAGGAGTCCCTCGCACTGGAGGGATTCAAAGATCGGAGAGAAGCACGTAAGACACGGTTTGATCGACTCAGGATGCTGTATTCGTTTGGCTGCGAGGACGACCGTGTGACAATCTTACAGACGGTCCTGTTGATGACGTACTGGGATGACAAATCTGATGACGGTCGTGATGCCTGGTATTTTGTTAGTATAGCCAAGGCAATTTGGAGATCCATTGAGATGAAGCCGACGAGTTCGGAAACCGAATTGAAACAACAGAAACAAGGGCTTTGGGAACGAATTTCCTGGTCATGCTACATCAGAGATCGGTTGGTTGCCATCAGCATGAGACGCCCATTTCACATCGATGAGGCCGATTTCCAGACTCCGATGCTCAGACCCTCGGACTATGAAGTAGGACCAATATCGACCAAATGTTGCCTTGGTAGCGACGGAAGCCACCCAGCTATCAGAGATCCTTCCATGCACAGGCTGTTAGCTCAGATTAGCATAGCCTTGGTGCAATGCTGCAAATACATCACACACATCATAAACTGTCAGTACACCGTCTCTCACGAGCAAAGGGGACCAGAGAACACATCCAAAAAATTCCTGGTTCCCAAATATGATACTGCAACGAGCGCGGAAGTGTTGCTTCGAGATAGCGAACTTGAGGAATGGCATGACTCTTTACCGGATTTCCTGCGATGGCACCCATCCGATCCGCTTCACCAAATCAATAAACACGGCGACGTGGTTCTTCTTTTTCGGGCAATGCTGAATGGTATCTACAGCCTCGCATGCAGTGCCCTGCATAGGCCGCAGCTTACCTCAACTAGCCCCAAGCTTCCTGAGCTGGCGGAATTATCAAATCGGCGGGTGCATTCTTCGGCTATCGCAATAACAAACACATATAGCTATTTCAAACTACGAGGCCCAAAATCCTTGCTTCCGGATGGCCAAGTTGCCATGCTCGAGACCGCCATCATCACACACCTCGGCGATCTAACGTCCACAATTTCTTCGACGCGTCAGGCAGCCATTTTAAATTTCCAATCATGCGCACAGGCTTTGAAAAAGCTTGGAGAAACGTATCCGTCGGCCGACCTAGCCCTTGCTTTTGTGGACGCCGCTGTTCGGAAAAAGACAACCCCAATGCAGACAAAGGAATTCGCCTTCACATACCCACTCGATAATGAAGAACTGGGACATAATGACCGAGTGATGAGTGATTCGCGGGGTACTGATAGTCCAGAGAGAATCCCGGAACCAAACATCCCACAACCACTTGATAATTTCAACCCGCCACAGATGAGGAAGCTCCTCTGCTCACATTTTATGATGACACCCTCGGAAAGGAGCATGTTGCAAGGCCTCATATCCCTGGGACCAGGCAACTCAGGATTCTACTCAAACTATGGGTCTTGCGCTTCTAGTCCTGAAGAGGCAGCCCTATGCTCGTCGCAGGCATCACCTGTGCAAGGTCATAAATTTGCAGCCGATGTAACTCTCAGTTCTCCGGTGAATCTGATGCCTCATGGATATCAGGAGTGGAACATGGATTCTGAATTTCTCTCAACTTTGCCGTGCTTGGCGGGCGAGGAACCAGAAGTCCAGTCCCAAATTGAGAAGGAACAGGATGACTGGGAATTCTTTCAAATGATGTCTCAATATTGTATGGAGTAAAGGAATTAAGGAGTAAGGCTAGACAAAGAGAATTTGCGAACAAGGAAGAAAGTTAGGGTCTTCGCGTGACTACGTAAAAATACCGATGAACAATAATCTGGAGTTACCATGGTACTTTGTAAGCTTGGGTCCAACCTCTACTACGTTCTATTAATTTAGGTATTCGTTAGGTAAACTCAAACATAAAATCTTATGGATTTCTCGACGTATCTTATCCATGTTATATGTTCCTGTCTTGTCTAAAAAAAAAAAAGAAAAAAGAAAGAACCGTGAGCAATTGAGCACTACCCGAGAGAAATGGTCGATGAAAATGCACGTCCATCTCGTAAGGTCCGAAGGGGTCTCAAGAAAAACCTTCTCCCGGGTTAGAAAGAGCAAATGTTTCAGTGAAGGGTGTCCATGAAGGTAGGTTGGAGAGTGGCATTTGGCCAGTCAAAGAGGCACATTGCTCTAAATCAATCCCCGACACAACATCGAACCCATTCAATAACCCATCATTTGAATAATTAGTCTGGCATGATTGAGACGCCCTCATATCCCCAAGGAACATAGTCGATGGAATTTGACCAAGTGAAATCATGGAACTCATGGAAGCTGGTTGACCGATCATCGTAGCACCGTTAGTCAATACGTTCCTTTCGCGCCGAAGAAGGTCGGATTTGATCGAAGTAATGACTTCCAAAACTCGAAGTGCATTTTTGTAAGCCTGGCCAATTTCTCCCAATGCTTGCGAACAGATTTCGAGCTGTCTGCGTGCTGTATCCCGAATCTGATAATCAGGCGATAAGAAGGCGCTGTGTACATGCACCAACATTGCCGTGAATATGAGGTGAACAGCTTGAATATTGACACGGCGAAGCGAGAAACGTCGACGACTAGCCTGCAGAAGCTTCGTGATATGCCACGCCGCATCATGGCAGGACTCGCGGCTCTTTTGCATGTCTTGAGTCGTTAAACCGTCCGAGCCAGCCGGCAAAAATGCAAAAAGTTGATCGACGATGATTCTCACGGCGTGGAATTGCATGCTATTCCAATATTAATACAATCGCGTGACTTGGTGAAATTCGAGAACATACTGTAGCTGTAGAACGTGAGGGAGGTGCTTGCATTCTAGATCCATCATATCGACATGAAGGGTTTCTGACAATCCAGATTTCCAGAGAGCAAGCTCATCTCTAGCCTTGACTGCAAATGCGTAGCGCCCCTTGAGATCGAGTGTGTTTCCTCTGGGAGTACCGTATCTGAACGGCTGATTAGCGAATAATGACCTTGGAAGCATCAAGCATGTGGCATGGATTTCCTAACAGAGCCTTTCTTATGGAAGCCATCTTCGTGCATAAGGTAACTGTGCCTTGGGCAACCTCATTGAGCAATGCCGGGGCTTCCCAAGCGGTGCTTTGTTGATCTTCGTCGATATATGGGCCCCATTTCTTGCTCACATCTATACAGGTGTCTCCCGGAAATGGCAACTGCACAGTGATATCTAAGTGATCAATGGACTCCGGCCGGCCCACATAGAGGCTCCACATTCTATATTCCGCTTCAGTATTTGAAGTTGATGATCCAGAAAATCAAGACAGTATACCTTTCATGGGTATAGGTGCCCCAGAATGTAGAACTGCGGAGCCGAACTTCGTCGAGGTCCATGAGACCCCGCTCGGCAAAAGGAGCAGCATCGATATGAAGACCCAGGTCTGTGGCAAGCCGCATGGCCATCCCTATAAATTGAAGAACATTAGATAAATGGCAACGAGTCCAATCATTCTGTAGTCGACGCTTACCACTGTACAGCCAACCACGAGCATCTCTGGTGAGAAGGGCCTCCACACCACTTAGAATTCCAAGAGACTGTACGGTACTAAGAGTCGGTGAGTCCATTTCGACTTCCAAGAGGGCCTTGGACCTTGCCGCAAAGAAGTCAATCAGTGATTCTGGGAGGTTGGGACAGAAGCGAGGGGTCAGAGCAGCTCCAACGGCACATCTAGATCATATTTGTGTCAATCATTCTCAAAGGTCTTTCGCCATGGGTGTTTCTTACTCACATTGCGTTGTTTAAGACCTCTGAGTATCGGTGACTAGGCTGATTGAGACTCCGATATCGAGACTTCTCCTGATAGTATGTTCTTTCATCTACCAAGGGAATATTCGGATTCTCCCAGGTAAAGTATAGCTTGGTTAGATGATCCTCGAGCTCTTCTTCCACATGATGGTCGACACCGGCTGCTTTCAGGATGAGACTCTCGTTCCAGTGAACAGAACGAATGTTTGAATTGAATAGCGGAAAGGGTCCAACATGTAAGATGTGAAGATTCGAGGTGGGCCCGAAGAATCTCAGCTGACCATCTTCCGCAAGCTGCAATGAACCCATCCGATCTGAGATGAGGTTCGTATCGTAGGAAGATTCGCCAGAAGGAGACAATCGATCTTGCGTATCCGGCGAATTCTCATCGGATGCAGTGGACATGCACTGCTCGATTGAAGGCACTGTGTGATCACTGATGTCCTGGGCTGTAGCGCTCGTGATAGGTTGCGAATCCCTGGCCGAAGGACAAGGGCTAGACACTGCAGGTAGAAATTGACTTGGTCGGCTAGCCGGGAGCTCAATATGGTGGCCTAAGAGCAGAGATTCAAGTGCTTGTATGTAAGAAATCATCATTGAGATCTTCCCTTTTGAGGCCATCCTTCGCTTGTCGATCTCTTGCGAAAACGTGCACCCCTGCTTATACAGCGCACAATTCGCACATTGTGGCCTCACGCCATCACATTTTGTCTTGCGCTTTTGACAACCAATGCACGCACGGGTGACATGTTTCATTGTTCGTGATCGTATTTCCGAGCCAGGCTCGTTGCGAGGAGATGCCCCGACCATGGTATTCGATACCCGGTGCAAGCTTTGTCGAAAAAGATCCTTCAAAGTTCGTCGTGTTTGGACTAAATGGTCAAGTCTATACCACTAAGCTGGGGCGTGATGATATGAATTAATCAGATATTGCGGATCGTCAAAGTAGGGTAAGGAGGACGCGGGGGTGGCGAAGGGCCCAGGACTGCGGGGCCCCGGTTGCTGACCTCAGCGCTCCAACGAGCCCCCCGGGGCCGGAACCCCGCTCCCCGACGTTGTCGTTCTGAAATTAGCATGATAGGGCCACGAGCTTCGACGCGTTATTTGCAGAAATGCAATTCAAGATTGTTTCTGGCAGGTATGTTGGTCTCCAAAGTCGAAAAAAACAAACAGGGGATTGGACAAAATGAATGAGCCGAGGATAAACCGGAGAAAGAAAGAAAAGATGCGTGAATGCATGACGCGAGATCCATCAAGCTGACGTTTGATGAACCATCATGAAGAACATCAGAATATCGAGCCGGGGAATCTAAACAATGTGCATGTATATTTCGAAAATCACTAGCTGAAAAAGGTTGCTTCTACCTCCGGCAGTACATAGCGGCAGGTGCACTAAACCCACTATCCACTGCAGTTTCAGGACTGTTCACGCTCAAGCCTGAGCCATGTCCTCTAGTATGAAGATAACCTACTGTTCATTTGTGGCCTTCAACTTAGCTGTGTGTTTCGTCACTTAAGACTGGTAATTCTTGTTGTAGTAGCTGTCTCACGCATGAAAAATCCCTTTGAATTCAAGAGTTTGAGCTACCTAGGTCTAAATGCCTAGAATAGGAAATTGCAGCAACTTATCCGACAATGAAATTATTTACTTTGGGAAGTTCCAATCGTCACAGCTTTGATATTCTGGTATTCACCCAGTCCATATTTGCTTCCCTCTCGCCCGATGCCACTCTCTTTGACGCCTCCAAACGGTGCCTCGGCTGCACTGATTAAACCCGTATTAACACCAATCATGCCGCATTCAAGTCGTTGTGCAACGCGAAGAACGCGGTTGATGTTCTCGCTAAAGAAGTACCCTGCCAGGCCAACCTCGGTGTCGTTCGCTAATGCAATGACTTCTTCTTCGGAAGAGAATGAGAATATAGCAGCAACGGGCCCGAAAGTTTCATTGTTTGCAAGAAGCATATCCTTTTTAGCGTTGGTGATGATGGTTGGTTGGTAGAAGTACCCAGAGGAACCACCAGCGGGTACATCACCACCACACTGAAGTTGACCTCCCTTCTTGATTGCATCTTGCACATGACTTTTGACTTTCTCCACAGCAGCGGCATTGACAAGAGGCCCGTGGGTGACACCTTCGTCGATTCCACGGCCTAATTTGAATGACTGGACTCGTTGAATCGATCTTTTAGTGAACTCTTCCAGGACATTCTGATGCACAAATAGCCGGTTTGTGCAGACGCAAGTCTGACCCGAAGAGCGAAATTTACAGATCAAGGCTCCTTCCACCGCTTTTTCGAGGTCTGCATCCTCGAACACAATAAACGGCGCATTCCCACCGAGTTCCATGCTGATTCGCTTCATTGTATCGGCGGCGAGCTTCGTGAGCATCTTTCCGACATTTGTAGATCCAGTGAAGCTTAGCTTTTTGATCTTTGGATGCGTGGCGAGCTCCAAAGACGCGTTACGATCTTTGGTAGGTACAATATGTACGACCCCGGCGGGGAATCCGGCCTGCAAGGCAAGCTTGACCAAGGCAATAGCAGTGAAAGGGGTCTCACTTGGCGGCTTTATGACGACCGAACAGCCTGCCGCAAAAGCAGGGGCAATCTTACGGGTGATCATCGCCGCTGGGAAGTTCCATGGAGTGATGATTCCGCATACGCCAACTGGTTCTTTCAGAGTTAAGACGGTTGTATCTTGATATGAAGAAGGAATGACATCCCCATATGATCGAACTGATTCTTCGGCAAACCATGATACAAAGGTTGCTGCATAGGCTATCTCGCCCTTTGATTCTGTCAAAGTTTTACCGTTTTCAAGGGAGAGTATCTTTGCAACTGTCGATAGTTAATTAACAGAGTTGGCGGAGGAGACAATACTGACTTACGATCTTCCGTATTCTCCAAAATCAATTGGCACCATTGTCGAAGGAGCGACCCTCTCTGCTTGGCAGTAGTCCCTGAGAAATACTCTCGAAATCCATGATCGGCATTTTCAATGGCTTCCACAAAATCTCGTTGGGAAAAGTCGGCACAGAAAGCAAGAACTTGACCCGAGGAAGGTTCAGTGACTGAAAACGTCTTGTTCGAAGCATCGTGCCTCCATTTTCCCGCAAAGTAACCCCTGCCGTCAAAAAGAGAAGGATTTGCCAATTTAACCGGAAGTTGGTAGCAAGCGTTGTCCATGATGGGCGCTGGGTGGAATAATTGAGAAAAGATAGTTCAATATTCAAGAATCTTGGTTTGAAGCGATAATAAATGAAATTTGTAACGCAAATTAGAACATACTTGTACTTCAGATAACCTGCCTCCATCGTATTCAAATTAGGCAATCGGAATTACATTCCCGGCCGGCCAAGGCTTGAATTATCCGATACATATGGACAAAAAGTTCCGAGGTATGTGACAGGCAATATGGTAAAGCTTGCATAGGGTAATAGGAGCAACCAGCTGCAGCTCGAAAAAACACAAATACATTTGCAAATAGTCTTTCGTAGTAGCTATGCTAAGGGCTTACGGCTACTAGGGCTAACACAAATCCGAGATCTGCCGAGGTCCTTCGGTGATACCCGTTGAATCCAATACAACCTTGCAACATAAATGACAAACGGGCCTCAATTGTGATTAAGTCACCGAGCCTCCAAACGCATCCTACAGCAAAAAGAAAATTGACAAAATCAACCATGCAAGCCGTGGTTTTTAAGGGTCCAGTGCAGGTTGCTCTCGAGAAAAGACCCTTACCGGAGATCCAACATCCAACAGACGTGGTCCTGAAAGTACGATACACGGCGCTATGTGGCAGGCAAGAAATTCAAGTTGGCATTTTCAAACTTGCATATAATCGCTAACATTAAGAAAGTGAACTACATGTCTTCCGGGGCCATCAAGCTTCTGGTACAGGGTTTATCATGGGCCATGAATTCTCAGGAGAAGTCATAGAGGTCGGATCTGACATACGACAATTCAAAAAGATGGACCGAGTAATATCGCCCTTCACCGTGAGCTGTGGGAAATGCTTTTACTGTGAATATGGCTTTTCTTCTCGGTGTACTCACGGCATGTTGTTTGGCACCAGTGCACTCGATGGTGGGCAAGCCGAATACGTGCGTGTTCCGCTAGCTGATTCAACTCTCTTTCGAATTCCGCCTTCAATTGACGAAAGGAAATTGGTTCTTATGGCCGATATCTTTCCTACCGGCTATTTTGCCGCTTTTAATGCTTTCTCGGAGTTGGATCCTAGGGAGATTCGAGATAGCACAGTCCTCCTCTTTGGCTGCGGCCCTGTGGGTATCTGCGCACTTATTAGTGCACTAGAGTATCGGCCAAAGAGCCTGATTGCAATCGATAGTGTGCCCTCACGACTGGCACTTGCACAGAGTCTAGGGGCCGAGCCGTGGAACTTTAAGGACAACGAAGAGGGGCTACGGCAGAGGGTGAAAAATCTTACTGACGGCCGTGGGGCAGATATCGCTATCGAAGTGGTTGGACATAGCAGTGCACTAAGGATGGGCTTCGATCTATTGCGACCCTGGGGACGGATTTCGAGTGTAGGTGTCCACAATCAAGAAATTCCGTGGACAGGGAACGAAGCCTACGGAAAAAACCTTCGCCTGCAGATGGGTCGATGCCCTGTTCGGAGTATGCCCACGCCGGCTTGATCTCATGGTACTCCTTAGCTAACTCTGATTAGGTATCTTTGACGAGGCCATGAAGCTTTTCGAAAGAAAGCAAGATGATTTGAAGTAAGTTAAACCCGCATCGTGATAGGTTCTTTTGATACTGATGGCTATTAGTTTCATGTGTGAAGACATTCGTCCACTTTCGCAGGCTATCCAAGCGTAGGTGACTATTGTGCTGCTATTCTAAGCTTTCTGGTTGACACTCATGCAGATATGAAGATTTCAGTAATATGCGGGCCCAAAAGATCATTTTCGAGGCAGGTTCTGGAGGCCAGAAATAATGCGATGGTTTCTTTTTGTCTCTACTGAGAAATAGTTTACTTTACAACTTTCCATTGCCCTCGGTTTGAATTATCACTCGTTAAAGTAAGAAAAAAAAAAAAAAAAAAAAAAAAGGCAGGATCTCAAAATTCGCTTCCAATATCTGATAAAAATTGTGTTTCGTTGGCGGCCCCAGGCCCCGTGTCTCTTCAGGACTTCGTAGTTTGATAGATCTCTCTTGTTGTCACCACGAATGGATGTTTTTCCCTCTCCACTCCTGTCGTAATATCTCTTGTCACATTACTGCGTGTTGACGTGTCTATCTCTATGCGCAAATATTGGCAAATATTAAGTAATTATTTGTGACATTAGAGATAGAGAAGGAAGTTGAATTCTCCAACTACGCTGAGCAAGCTGCTGGGCTTTAATAGGCCCAGCGGACAAAGAAACAACAAACAGCAAACGGAGACCTGGAAAGCAAGGCATCAACTCCCAAACCCTATTAACTATTATTATTTAATCAAGTTTATTGTCTATACCGAGCCCTAGAGCTATGATAGACCATGATTCATGGACTCGAGGCCAGAAGCTATTCTACAGTCTTTTGTCCCTATAAGTTCCTGAGGCAGCACCTCCTTCTATAATCTTTCTAATCCTTTTCCTCGCCCCAGGCCGCCTGTATGCGCAGGGCTTTCGAGCAGAGTGCTCTCCTTGTGTTTCTGAGTAGGGTGGGTGTGGTCTAAGCTGAGATTCAGCTTAGGCTACCCTCCCTGTTATCCTTCTCCTCGCCTACTTGCTTCCTCCAATGTTTCCAGTCCCCATTCCTCATCTTTCCGGGCTCTTTCCACCGCCCATTGTAGATATCCCTGAGGTAGAGCTACGCTGGTGCTGGCTAAGAATTGTAGCAGTGCCCTAGTTGCTTTGGGCTCCCCTAGGAGTTGTCCTTGTGGATATTCTTCTGCTGTAGTGGGTCTCATAACTCCATCTGTCTCCAGGTCCTTGTAGAGCCTGTTTCACTGGTGTTGCCATTGCCTGCACTCAAAGAGAAGATGGTGTACTGTCTCTTTAGAGGAACCACATCCTTGGCAGGTTGCATCTTCTCAAGCCTGAATCTGGTGTAGATATGTTCCAGTGGCTGCATGCCCTGACTTCAGTTGAAAGTAGCGGCTTGCCAGGTGTTTTGGAGCCACTGCAACCAGGGGGTTGAGCTGCCAGTTTCTCTGTGGCCTGTACCATTGGGATTGTTGGCTGAGTTTCCTGGCAAGCCATCTCTGCTTTTGTACTGTCATGGCCTCTGTCCGGGCTCTCTGGGCAAAAGTGAGAGAGATCTCTTTTGAGCCCCTTCCTGGAGGCTTATTAGCCGCCTGCTTTGCTGCCTGGTCGGCTCTCTCATTTCCTTCTACCCCCGCGTGTCCCGGAACCCATTGTATGGTGGGTTGGCGATCTTGGGCTTGTAGTTTTTTGGCTATGGTGTGTGCTTGAATTGCTAGAGCTTGGCCTGGCCCAGGATGGGTATGTTGCAGCCTTGCAATGGCGGCCTGGGAGTCCAGCAGAACGGTGATTGGTCTCCAACCTCCTGTCTTCCATGCTACTTGGAGCGCTTGGATGACTCCAAGAAGTTCCGCATCAAAGACCTCGTATCCTTTGCCCAATGGGAACCCTCGGGTCTTCCAAGCTCCTCCCAGTTCTTGCCATGCAATTCCTGCTCCGCATCTGCCATTGTCTAACCTCGAGCCATCTGACCAGATTGTCAGTCCAGGAGGAAGGGCTCGTGCAGCTGCAAGGGCCTCTGCACTCAATAACACTTCTATTCGGCCTGGGAATCCCAAAACCTAGTTAGTTAGTTAACTAACCTATTCGAAGCTTTCGGGTAGCCACAATCGGAGGGTCGTTTGCCGCACAAACTTGTTCAACTCATCAAGATTATGCAAGTCAAAGATTTGAAATGGGGCGCTTGGGCAAAAAGAGAGCCCTGCTATTACTCGGGACCATCTTCTCGTTCTGATTTGTGGTGGTAAATCGCACTTCTTCCAGCCCTTCGGTTATCCCCATGCGCCATATTTTCGTGATCAACTTGTGACCTGGCCTGACAAGGGAGGCAAATCTTGCCTGGAACTTTTTGAGCTGGGTCGCATCATAATCGTAAATTTTTTGCAAAACCCCATGGCATGTGGAACTATACGTGAAAAGACCGTGAATGATGACACCACCCATCCCCATCTCCAGCCCTGGTTCCGGAACAGCATGAAGCGGGTTGTAGTCACCATTGAGACTGGACAGCGTTAGAGGCCTTGTTAAACTCGAATTTAGAATTGAAGGGATAATTCACCGGTATAGAAAGATCGTATTGTCTGTAATCTGCACTTCATGGGTTGCATCTGGTGCGCAGTTGGGAGAGGGATAGGTAGGCGATTTGGGGCTTTGAATATGGATCACGTTTAAATTAGTGCTTTCATTTTCTTCCTCTGTGCTGCCGATAAAATAGGAGATTTACCTCGTGGACCTCCCCAATTTCCCTGTTTCGGGACGAAGCTCACAGTGCGCGTCGTTGTATATACTTCATCTGTTCCGGTGTTGACAATTTGCTGCTCTGTCTCAAAGGCGCTGCCGGCTTTACCCTTGTCGTAGATGCCAATGACCTTATTTCTTAACTCGAATCTTGCTCCTATGCTTGCTATAGGAAGTGGACGGTGAATCGTGAGTTCTCGTTGGCCGTCAACAGCATAACGGAGATCTAGAGCTGGAGCTCCTGGAATGGTGTTGGAAGCGTTGCGGCAATAAAACTCAATAACCTCTTGGTCGGTAAGGTTAAATGCTAGGAATGTCAGTAAATAGTAGGTCTCGCATGTAGTTCGACCTCTCGTGCTAGGTAATACGTACGCAAGATCAGAGGGTAAGTCGGAAACACCATGAACCGGGGATGGAGTTCCTGGGGAGAAAAGCCATTAAAATGAGCCAGTGCCTGCACTTAAGCAAAGAGCAAACTCACGTGAAGGAAATGAAGTTCTTTGGCAGTGACACCGATACTGTTCGCGAACAGAAGCACATCGCGCTGTAACCAGGACACTTCCAGTGGAGGCAACTCGTGTTCAGCGAACATGACGATGGTTTTGGATGAGGTCTGACTTCTGTCTAGGTCACATTTCTTTTCTAGTCTTATGGAGATCCTCTCATTTGCTGAGATCCCTGCTAGCGTAGACGGCCGATCTGGACAAACTGTTCCCGCAGAAGGCTCGCCGTTAGCCTCGGAACTGAAGGCTGTCCAAATTCCAGAGTGGTCAGCCGGTTCATTAGCCGACCGTGTCGAGTGAATAAAAACAACCAACATTGGACTTGGACGGTAGTATGACAATAGCCTGGTAGATTGCTACAATTCATCATCGTGAACTCGAAGTCGCTTCTCACCACCATCATGCATTACCTCCCCGAAATCGACACGAATATTCCATCGCTGGACCTTTTAACCCTATTATTTGGTACGTTTACTCTCTTGTGCATTTTTAAACACAATGACTGATTGATACAGAGTCCTCCTACTCATGGGCAAAGGATGAAACGGTGATACACGCAGAAGCACGAAATGAGACGAATTGTCTCACGAAGATCGAAACTGCTACCCTTATCCGTCGACTAGCTTATGTCCTAAGAATTGAGGTTGGAATTGGGGCTTTCGGTGCGGGCAAGGATGTAGTGACTTTCATTTGCTCAAACCATATTCTAGGACCATCCTTGTTCTTTGCAATCATCGGAAGCGGAGGTATCTATTCTGCAGCGTCAACATCATTGACGGTGTCGGAGCTAGCACATCAACTCCAGCAAAGTAAAAGCCATCTCATCATCGCAAGCGAAGATATGGCTGGTACCGCTCTCGAAGCGTCACAGATAGCCCACATTGCGCCGGAAAGGGTCTTGGTGCTCCACCGTATGGGTCTGGAGAGGGCCTTGACCCCGTCTGTGGATCGGAGTCGGAACTATCTGGGGGGAAAAAAGGAGCTCTCCTGGGAGAAAATCACCGATGAGAAGATCCTAGAGACTCGGGTAGTTGCCTTACTCTTTTCCAGCGGCACCACGGGAGTCCCCAAAGGCGTATGCCTCTCGCATAAGAATTTTGTGGCAGAGGCCGTGATCACTCAGACAGCCATTGGGACGTATCTCGATCGTACAGGACGACAAAATCAGGTTGACTATGAATACCGCACGATTGCGCACCTCCCAACTGCCCATATTTCAGGGCTCCAGGGCTATTTTATCAATGCTACCATGACCGGCGGAACGGTTTTCTGGATGTCCAATTATGTCTTCGAGGACTTCGTTCAGGCAGCAAGGAAGCACCGGCCCACATTCATTTCCACTGTGCCGTCCATCTACCTGCGCATTGCCAAAAGCCTTTCTGTTTCCGTCGAGTTTCACAGTCTTGAGCATGCCCAGTCAGGCGCTGCGCCAATGGGCCCCGATTTGCAGAAACTGGCCGAGACGAAGCTCAAGTGCAAGATTAGCCAGGCATGGGGATTGACGGAAACCACAGGCGCGGTCACTTGGCTTCCTTGGGACCGCGAGGACAACACAGCGAGCATCAGTCAGCTGTTACCAAACACACGCCTAAAGATTGTCGACGATGCCGGAGCCCCTGTCCGAGATGGCCATGCGGGCGAGATTCTGGTGCGCGGTCCCAACGTGACCATGGGGTACTGGCAGAATCCAAAGGCCACGGCGGAGGCCTTTACTGATGATGGGTGGTTTCGAACCGGGGACATTGGTGTGCGCAGGGATGGGAAGTTTTATATCGTCGATCGGAAGAAGGTTGGTCATTGAGCCTTATTGCAATTCAGGTACTTCATGGCTGACTTTACCACAGGAATTAATCAAATATAAAGGCTTGCAGGTGGCACCAGCCGAGATTGAGGCGGTCCTCGTGGGACATGACAAGATCCTCGATGCCGGGGTGATTGGAATACCTGATCCCCGCATTCCCGGTAATGAGATCCCACGCGCATTTGTTGTCCGCAAGCCGGGACATAGCCCGATAACCGAGGAAGAGGTCAAGGAGCATGTTCACAACAAGTTGGCTTCACATAAGCAACTGCGGGGTGGCGTCAAGTTCATTGGTGAGATTCCTCGTAACTTGTCCGGCAAGATACTCCGGCGCAGGTTGGGGGAGGTTGAAGACCCAGAGAGGCCCTCTAAGCTGTGAAAGGTGCATCTCAGGAATATTAGTCTTAGTTATCCAGGTTAAAAAATGCCACGCCCTGATTGTGATGAGAAGGTGACCCAAAAGTTCCAGTAGGAAAAAAGGCAGAGATAGATTTGATATGGAGAAAGAGGCGCATGCTAACTGTTTGGCTCGAGAGGAACGTAATAAACAGAGTGCTGGCGACCTAAGGTATAAACCTATTGATGCTTTAGGGCCTCAAAGTGTCCCCCGTATACCCGCACTCCTTGCTACAGAAGCCAAGTATTCTTTCTCCAGCTCTTCTGGCCAGTGCAGCTCAGACAATGTCATACAGGTCTTTTTAGAGATTCAAGGTGTCCTAAAACTCGATGCGCCCGTTGTGCAACCCTCCGGTCACAGCAATATCTGCCCCTGTTGTATACGATGCTCCTTCGCCTAGCAGATACGCCGTCGCGAGCGCAAGGTCTTCGGGTTGTCCAATGCGTTTCAAAGGAGGTGTGCTGTTAAACACTTCCTGAATGTCCGCAAACTGCGCCGACATCTTGGTCGCGATAAATCCAGGAGAAATAGTATTGACGCGCACATTGTATGGAGCCATCTCTACCGCAAGGGTCTTTCCTAGAAGCTTGATGGCACCCTTCGAGGCGCCGTAGATTGATACTTTTTGTGCAGGTATGGCACAGTGAGCCGCAATAGAGGCAATCATAACAATAGATCCGCCGTTACCTTGCTTGATCATTTGTTTCGCGGCAAGCTGGGCCGAGAAAAAAGACCCAAGGACCTGCCATGCATGTCAGGAAAAGTACAATTTATTGATAAAGAGTGGCACCGAGAGTGTACTTACATTGATGTCAAGAATGCGACGAGACTCTTCCCATGTATGTTCGAGAAATGGCTTGTCAAGAGCAATCCCGGCGCAGGTGATACTATCACGAAACCCTGTTAGTTTTGCAGTCTTACACGAGACCTAAAGAAGAATCCTAACTCGCCAATTATCGAGCTTGCCCATGTCCTGAGCCACTCTGTCAAAAGCAACCTCCATCCCCTCTTTTGAAGTCACATCCATCCTGTAATTAAAGTCATGAGTGTCGGCTCATTATGCTGTCGTTGTGCGAACTTGCTTACCGGTGAAAGACGAATCGAGAGCCATAGTCTCTCTCCAGCTGAGCGAGACTCGTGTCTGGCTCTTGAGCATCTAGTATAGTTATACCACTACCTAGTGCTGCGGCCGTCTTGGCCAGGATCAATCCAATTCCTCTCGAGCCCCCTAGCGTGGGAACAGTCAGCATGTTTTCATTCATGTAATTGGGCATGGTAGATACCTGTGATAACAGTAACTTTGCCATCTAGGGACAACTTAGAAGCTATGAATTCCCGGGCCGTATTTGAGGCTTCGGTTGAGCCAAATGGGCTTGTTCCAAAACTACGTTTCGTGGTTCTCCTAGACCTAGTCCAGAAGTGGCTAGAGATATTGGGTTGCCGATTCATGGAGAGAGCGCCCCGCAAAGGGACGAATCTTGAGGGACGGAGAGCAATGCGGGATTTCGGCATTCTGGAAAATTTTGGCGAAGGCTTGTGACATTAGACAACAACGGTAAGAGGTGATGGATGATATCTGAATGTTGATATTCGAGGATGAAATGCCTGTACAGGTCTTCTAGATGTTTACTGTAGCGACGCCAGAAGACAGTTTTACCCCGCAATCAAAAGGGAGTGGGAAATGGTGCCCTGGAGATTCCCCGGAATTGTGCAGTGATATGCCCCAGAAATAGAATTTCGGGTTCATTTCTCGCCCCGATACGCGTTATCGGGCGTTGCAAACGGGTTTACAATTCCACGGATTTTCCATAACTGGGCTGTCCTTGATTCCGCCTCGAGGGAAGGCTCAAGGTGCCAATCAGCGATTCTCGTACCTGCCGATTGGAAGCTGCGGTTTATTATTCTTGCACAGCCAGGGGTCCAAAAGATGAGATCGGTTCTACTGGCTGGATTCTAGTGGAGAGAAGTCGAAATCGTGGAATATTTCAAAAGTATCGGTCGGAAATGACATCAATAAATGTGCTTTGGAGCAGCATTGCCAATTTGAAATTATACAATTCGCTTTTTAAGTCAATTTCATTCAAGGCGCAAGCAGTGAAATATACGAGATCGATAGCATATATGTAGTAAGATCCATTTTATCTACATTCCCATAGGCCCAGAGGCGTAGAGCCCGGAGAAGCAGTTTCTATCCAGCATAGTTACACAATTTGTAATAACAAGAGTCTTCTATCGTACAAGAGACAGAAGACCCTGGAAATATTGCGGCATTTGGTGAGGCAATGCTCCTTTTTGGTGCCACGCCAGACCCATGAGAGCAAGAAACAGGAAGCCATATGTCTCCTTTGTAGTTCGGAACCACCGCCACAGCGTGTTGACAAACCACAATCTCGACCCAGGCATCTCTTTGAACACGCCAACATGGGGTCTCAATGCTTTCTTCCAGTAAGTCGAGGCATAGCCTGGCCACGACGCTGAGTTGCGCCCATGCTTGTTGATATACCAGTTTGAGCATCCAGCTTCAAACACACTGCCTTTGAGTTCAGTCTGCAATGCGTTTACCCATTGGTATTCTGCGGTACGCTTCACTTCTAGTGAGGATATCCGGCGATCAATAATCGGCGCAATCAACGTTCGAGCCAAAAATTCCACCTGTACCTCGGAAGCAAAGAGCACGGAGTTGTGTGCAGGGAAGGTGTTAGGACCGAATCTATGTACCATAGAGTCAGTATGCACTCTCTGATCGAGGAAGCAATCAAGGTAATATTCAGCAAAACATACAAAAGGCCAAGGTTTGGGAAATTGTGCACGTAGACACCCATATAGGCCTGTGCCCCACGAGACTCCAACCACTGCTGTGACAGGCTCTTGCCATTTTTGCCGTACAACTCCATTGGGACGATAAACTGCTGGACATCAAAGCCCGTTGCCAAAACAATCGCATCGAATTCAGTCCGGACGCCATCTGTACCGGTGATACCAGTCTCGTCGATTTGATCGATTCCAACGGGAGCCAATTCCACATTACTGCGATGGAGACTATCCAGATAATTCGGGTCGAAGATCCGTCGCTTGCAGCCTTTTTTTTTTGGGTGGGGGTGGCGTCAGCACAGTTTGTGGACTTTGAATGGGAAAGCAGTATTAGACTCACCTAAGGGAAAGTTCGGAACAAGAGACTTGTGGTACTCCTTGGGCGCAGTCTGATAGATGTACTGGCGTGCTCTGCTCTCAGCTTTCGCGCGCAACTTCTCAGCCGCCGGTCCAGGTAGATAAGTGGCCACGAGTTTGTCACTGGCAAGGAAAAGCTGCAGACGAAGGTAGCGCTCCCAGAAGGGGATGTTACGGAGGCACCATTTTTCGAAAGCTGTGAAGCTACGGTTTGGCCTCTCGTGATACCACTGCGCACTTCTTGCGTATTGCTTTACCATTGCGGCATCTTGAGCAATGGCAGGGACCACCTGGGCTGCAGAGCATCCGTTTCCAATCACTGCGAGGCGTTTCCTGCGGTAGTCAAATTGATGGTTCCACCGCGCGGTGTGGAAGATTTCGCCGCTGAATTTCTCCATACCGGAGAATCGAGTGTCTCGTGGCTTTGAGATACCGCCTACGGCGGAGATAAAGATGGTTGCGGTTCTGGTGTATTCGATGTGTGTCTGACAATCAAGAAGACGAACCTCCCAAAACCCCCCGTCATTCCAGGACGCGGAAATACATTCGATCCCAAACTCCATGTGCTTTCGGAGATCAAATTTGTCCACCGTTGCTTCCATGTCTGCGTCATGTGTTATTTATCAGTGCAAAATAATGGGACATGTTGATTTGACCGTTTATAACGTACATTCAAGGATCTCGGGTCCCTCGCATAGCTCCTTCGACCAATTTGGATTCTGGTTGAATGAAAATGAATAGAGTATTGTCGGCACATCACATCCCCTACCCGTGGAATACTAATTAGCGCTGCCTCTGTCATTCGGACTAGGGTTACGCACACTCCCGGATATGTGTTCTGTCGCCACGTGCCGCCAGGCCCGTCAAGCTTGTCGTAGAACTATATGGTCACCACGTTAAGGGCTGGATTCTGTGAGCTTGGTTTGTTCATTACTCACTGTAAAATCGTCGAAGCCCAATTTGTGCTTCAAGGTGTGCGCAAGGGCGATGCCTGACGGCCCGGCACCGATAACGATAATCTCTTGACTCAGCATCGTGAACAAGAAGCAGAAAGATGCAGTCTCTGGAAATTTCAACAAATAGTTTGAACGAAGAGAAGCGAAAAAATACTACGAACATGTCATTGCATATTTACATTTATATCACTGTCACACTACGTCGGTCCACTGGGTATGAGCCGAAAACCGACGGAATCGCTGATCACGCGGAACAGACATGAACAAGCCTAGGGGAAAGTGTTCGAAAGCGCAATCCCGAAAGGCAGGATACCGCAGGCCTGAGAAGTGAGTGAGCCGGGAAGGCGTTCATGAAGTGGCTTGTATTCAAAATCCGCGGAATTGCAAACCCGGTGGAGAGTTGAGAATCCCAACTGGACCTGATCCTAGAATGTCATGACTCGCGTAAGATTTTAGCAAAAAAATAATAGAGTTCACTTACCGGGATTGATGGTCTCAGTCTGTCAGAAAAAGAAAATTTTTTTTGGTGGTCGATCTACCCCATGATTACCCCGGAGTGCCCGGACTAGCATCTATGGGCATGTGGCAGGCTTTTACCAAGCCACCTCAAGGTAGAAAAAAGTCTACTATAAAAGAAATGAACTCAAACGGCTCTATATACCCCATACTAGGTCTAGTATTTCTCCTATTTCCAGCGGCAAGAACAAAAAAGGTGACCGTCCATTATGAAGAACTTGAAAGAGAAAGCGCTTTATCGTGTCATGCGCCTTTGCTGTTGCTTGGTGTGTGTCTACAACCCCATACTATCATAAGAATATTGGAACTGACCACTGCACAGGCCTTCGGATTATCTGGGTGAGTGAAGTCTGGGTCACGAACCAAAGTTTCAGTGGTCGAAGACTGAGTGCGACAGCTATGATGCTGGTGTTCTGGGAGGTGTTCAGGAAACACGCCCTTTCCATGAAGCACTCGGAGTATGTAGCGATCCAGTCGGTTGGATTTTTCGCAGGCTGATAATTCCAGAATTCAACTGGCTCTTACATCATTCCCATGGTGGCATCTAGTTATACATTGGCTGCCACCGTGTGCGCTCTGGCAGTCTCGTGGCTTGGCATGCCCTTGGGGCGACGGGGCTGTATAGTCTTGGGCGACGTTCTGAACTAACTGATTCCACAATACAGGCCGAGATGAGTCTCACCGAAAAGGAACGTGGCCCTGAGGTGGCTTTCCAATGCATATTCCTAGTCAGTGGCTGTGCATTCGCGTACTGGGTCGATTTTGGCTTTACGCGACTCAATAATCAGATCTCATGGGTGAGAAGATGCTACTCGAAATGGTTTCCAAGTGACCAGACTCTGATCATGCATAGCGCTTTCCCATGGCGTTTCAAGCCGGACTAGCTGTCGTTTCAGGTGTAGGTATGTTCTTGCTGCCTGGCACTCCTCGGTGGTATTATATTCGCGGTCGCTTCCAAGAAGGGGACGAGATTCTATCGCGTCTACATGATCGAGCGGTATCGGACCCTGCTGTTCAAGAGATGCGGCAGTCGGTTCTTTCGTCCCTTGAACATGAGGCTGAGCAGACCAAAAGATTGAACGTACTTGATCTCTTGTGGGACCGAACTGACCTGCGAGTGGGACGTCGAATTCGTGTTGCCTTTTTGACCCTGTCCGTACAACAAATGATGGGTAAGCAGATCTCCTTCTTACAGACTCTCTCTCCCCGTCTTAAACATTCATCCCAGGAATCAACATCGCTGTTTACTAGTGTCACGATTTTCTCACAGATTGGCCTTTCTTTCACAATGTGCCAGCTTCTCGCCGCGGTGATGAACACCACCTTTGCGATGGGGTCTTTCCTTCTTCCTTTTACCATTGAGAGGTTCGGACGGAGAAGGATAATGATGTACTTAGCTGCGGCTCTCACAATCTGCCTTACAGTACTTGTCACAATGATTGGATCCCCAGAGCCCACACTGGCAAAACAGTGGGTAGCAGTTGCAGTCATTGTTATCTATAATCTCATTTTTGGCTATGGATGGATTGGTGTTTGTTGGTTGTACGGGCCTGAGGTAAGCTGGTTTATTGCCTCTGTACTTCAAGATTGGTATTTCAAATCCTCACGTCCTACTAGATAGCGCCACTGCAGTTCCGCCACGTTGGAGGTACCGCTGCCGCATTCGGAGAATGGCTATTTTGTTTTTTCACTGTATTCGCAGGAGGTATTGGGCTTGAGAAAGGGGGACGAGGTGATATAAATCGTGGTGGTTCGTTTGCCAATTGTTTAGTGGGCAAGGAAGGGATTAAGTGTTCCCATCACGACACTGTCGATGCATGATAACACTGGGGCTGTGATCGAAAGAGACTCACATTCCCAGTTCGAGAATGTTGGCCAGCCCCCTTGCTCAAAAATGGAGACTTTACGGTGAAAACTGATTCTAGGTGAAATTTCAGCCATGCCCTAGAGCTATTCAGTCAGTTGCCAAAAGAGAAAAGGTAGTAGAATACGAAATTCAGATGATTACGGCACGCTAGTGGTTTTTGAAAGACTGAGAACCCTTTTTCCAAGCCAATATTCAAGTAGCTTTGATTTACTAGATGGCTCCTCCGGCTATTGCAAACACCCATTGAAAGATATATATCTTGTTCTGCGCTATGATTGCGGTTAGCATTCCTTTTGTCTACTTCTTTATGCCAGAGGTTTGTGGACTTCTTTTTTTTTTTCTTTCCCCCCCCCCCTCTAACTAATATATATCCTCTTTTAGCAAGGTCGCTGTTGAAGATACTTTTCTGACTTTTATTCTTTGCACAGACCATATTGGAAGAGATTGATTACATCTTCGTGAAACAGAAGTCATGTCAATGAGCTATTGGATAATACCTCTCAACTGATGTGCAGATCTTCTCAGATTATTGCTCCATAAACATGGTTCATTACAAAATTTTGCAGATATCCGGACAATCAAGCTAGCATGTGAACTGGTACTTGCTACAATTTCTGACCTGGCTTGTTCAATTGAATCACATATAGACCTCGACTAGCTCACACTCATTTTTCTTTGAAGGCCATTCAAGCTGACAGGTGCGTTTCCTGAAGAGAAGAGAATGTAAAATGATTAATTCTGACTACAAACGACTACACATAATTTTGGAAGAAGGGCTTGAGCAACAAAGCCCCAAGCCAAATGAGCGTCTTGTGGACTCTTCTCGCAATTTTCAGTACGTGAATTGTTGTTATCGGGCAATACATGTCGCCGGCAAATCTTGAATATAGACACCAGGCACATCAAATGCGCCCGCGAGCCAGAAATTTGTCCGGGATGTCCACATACTTGCATCGAAGATACTCGGCTACATTCTTGCCCAAGACGTCGTAAGTAGAGCTTGATGCCACCCCGCGGTCCAAGTGATCCTTCAAAAGGAAGTGCACGGCTGTGGCAAAACATTTTGTCAGTAGAGCATCAAAAAAATCACAGCATTCCCAAATTCGTGGCTATGAAATGTGAAACTCACCCCAGATATTCGGCAACTCAAAGCGGAAGATTTTATTTCCCACATCATCTTTGCCAAGCAACGATCGGATCTTATCCGTGCTCAATAAGGACCGCAGCCAATTCCATTCGTCGGCATGGCGAACAAAGAAGCCTACGTTGGCATCAGATCCTTTGTCGCCGGATCGAGCGTGTACCACATAGCCCAGGGGGGCACGGGTGGTGGGTCCGAACACCGCCATATCAAAAGGAGCCGCGGTCTCATGCGACGGCTGTTCATATAAAAATGGGACAGTATCGCGTGGGTGATCTATTGGGGTCTCGGTGCCTCTAAAAGGAAGATGGCAAATGTGATGCATCCGACTTTGCGGAAAGATGGACACGAAGTACTCGTAGTAAGGCTTTGGGGCGGCCTGGCGAGCGTCCACGGCAAAGGTCGCCCCCGGATAGCTCTGCATGATTGTGTCTGTACAGGGCTGGAAAAAATTGGTGATCCCAAGGGCTTCTTCAGATCGTGATTGAGCAAAAATTCGCACATCAACTGTGGCCGCATCCTGGCTAGAAGGGTCCGAGGCACAGGATCCGCTTGTTCGGAAGATTAAAGTATGGTATTGAGATTCGTCGAGCAGATGACGGATTTGCCTCTCAAGCAGTGCGGCCTTTTCCTGGATGTCCAAACCGCAAAGGAAATAGTGAACTTCGGCTTGAAAGCCGCCGAGCGCTGTGATGCCAATTTTCGTTGTTGGTGGCGGCCGAAGACTTTTGACATTGGAGACATGACTGGTAATTTGTTAGTTTAGCTTTGTGAATAAAAATTTTGAACATCGACTGTCAGTATAAACATACACACGATTTGGCCCCTGTTGCTTGATGACTATCTCGTCCAAGATAGCTACGACATCAGGATTATAGTATAGTGGACCCTGAATCTCGTACAGGAGTTGAGCCTTGCACGTATCCTCTGTCAACATGCCATCTTTGCCTCTCTGTATTGTCACCACAAAATCTCCTGCGGGACTAATCTCAGCAATAGGAAAGCCTATATCAACTCCAGGTCCAGGCAGAGACTTGAAGCCAGAGAAGTTGCCGCCCGTGACGTATGTGGAGCATTCGATCAAATGGCCTGCTACGAAGGCATGGGCCAGTTGATCAAAGTCTTGTCGGCTCCATTTGTAATGATAGGCCGCACAAGCAATCGTGGGGGAGGCATCTGTCACTCTGCCACAGATAACGATATCGGCTCCTTGGTTGAAAGCTTCAACAATGCCCCATGCTCCAAGATAACATTGCGCATAGATTGGATCAAACTCCCAGTCAGTGAGTTTCTTCCCTAGGAGGCATTAGCGACTCTGCCGAGTTTCCATGCGGTGTTTTGTAACGAAGGAAGGGAATTTACCGGTTGTGAGATTGGTAAAGTCTTCCCCCGACTGGATGGCCTTGTGAAGCAAATCTGAAACCTCATCGCCCTCAACCCAGGCCACCTTGAGATCAAGGTTCTTTTCTCTGGTCGACGTAACGAGAACATCATGCAGCTTCTTCGTGTCACTGGCTCCTGCGTTGACCGCCAGCTTGATCTTTCGCGTCGCGAGATCCACCAATGCGGGCTTGATCGATTCCAGAAATGAAAGTTCGAACTCCGATGTTTGCTGATTCTTAATTTTTGCCCCACCCCGAGTAGTCATATTGTACTCGGACATCCAATCACCCACAATGAAGTGAACATCTTCTGTCCGAGCAAGCTCCGCTAGTCCATGGCGTCGGTCGGTCACGGATCCGGAGGCAGACGTGATTCGTAGAGTGTCAGGCTTTGAAACAGTCATGATCATTTTAGACTCGATCCATAAGGTGTCTGTATTAACTCTGTAGATATCCCTGACGTGCCTAGCTTTAAGTACACCATAGTGCTTACGTTGGGTCGGGTAAGCTTTTGGTCGAACTGGACAGCCCCGAGGTCCGAAAAACCACGATCTGGTTGGGCCTTCAGGTCAGTCACGGTAGAACCCTGATAGACACGATAGAATGGATGTGGGAGTGTTGAATTACATCGAGTGCATGACAAGCCATTCCTGACTCAAGCTGAAGTGCGGGGCGCTAGGTCAGACATCGGCAATTCTTCGCGTAATTTTCTTGTCATTCGCCACAGTAACAATTTCCGGCATCATACAGTATATGGAGTGTATCTACAAGCTAAGGCAAGCTTTAGCAGTGACAGGGCGGCGCGATCCGATAAATGCTATGAAATTACTGTACCGACTGGAATCAGGCTACGCTCTCAGAGATAGGAAAAAGGCTAGTTTATCATGGGACCATCCAGGGAGATTTGCACCCCTTATTTCTCGTTATCAAAGAGTAGATTTCAGAGAATGAAAAAGCAGAACACACAAAGGACTACTTGCTTGACTGCATCCAAGGATCAGAGAGAGAGAGAGAGAGAGAGAGAGAGAGAGAGAGAGAGAAAGAAAGGAGGTATGAATTCTCTATCGAAAGGCAAGCTACTGGCGGTCTATCTCACGACCCATCTCACAAAGAAACTGCAAAGCAACCCGAGGCGCGATAAACAAGGCATTTATCCAAACACTTTCTCACAACCCATTTTGCCAATGTAATTCCAACTAACCCTCAGTCGAAAATTGTGGGCTGAAAGGGTAGTCAATATAGCCCCTGGGGGATTTCGGTGTGTAAAAGGTCGCCCTTTCATATTGATTCAAAGGGAGAGCTTTGGCAATCCGGAACGGCAAGTCGGGGTTGGCTAGGAAATGGCGTCCAAAAGCTATGGCGACACGACGGGTGGCTTGGCTCTGAAGTCTCTTCTCTGCCGACTCTGCTGTAAAGCCTCCTGCCAAGATGATGGCACCTGAGTTGCCAAAGGCGTCAAAGATAAAGGTATCATCATTTTCCACACTATCTTCGACCGTTTGACCACCCGAAATCCGTGGCTCGACGACGTGTAGGTACGCCAAATTCAGTCGGCTGAGGCCCAGAATGAGATCAGTGAATTGTTCCTGGAAATTCTTCATGCGCATGCTCTGAAATGTGCTCCATGGACTGATGCGGAATCCCGTCCTTTCAGCGCCAACCGCATCGGACACAGCTTTGGCAACTTCGAGACCAAATCGAGACCGATTCTCAAGACTACCACCCCATCGGTCAGTCCGGTTGTTTGCGGTGTCTTGTAGGAATTGGTCAGGTAGATATCCGTTTGCCCCGTGGATCTCGACGCCATCGAACCCTGCGGAAATAGCGTTCTTAGCAGCGCGGGCATAGTCATTGACCCAGTCCAGGATTTCATCCTCGCTAAGGGGCCTTGGAATAGGACTCGATTCCGTCATCGGAATATCTCCACTGGAAATGACATTTTCACCATCCCTTGCCAGTACCTCTGGGTTTGCAGCTCGACCTAATGCCCATAGCTGACAGAAAATGTAACTCCCACGGTCATGCACAGCGTCGGTGATGGTCTTCCATTGTTTGACTTGTGTTTCGCTCCATATTCCGGGGACATTGTCTGTTCCGCCTGCGCGCGCCGAGATAAACGTGCCTTCATTGATTAACAGGGTGCCGGGGACGGAGGCTCGCTGCGCGTAGTACTCGCGAGCGATATCGAGAGGGACATGGTGGTCGTCGGCGCGGATGCGTGTCATGGGAGCCAGCACGACCCGGTTGCTGATATCCAGATTGCCGATCCGGATGGGAGATATAATGGCGGCCATGGGGGAGGGGTGAAGTCGCTTTGTGTTGCTGTTGGTCGGTTTCGGTTCTGTGACTCGGCATCCCGAAGGAATACAGTACGTATTATATGTATTATTTAGTTATATTATCTCGATTAGAAATCAGATTGAATGTCTCCGAAATCTAGTTACGGGTTTTCGACAGATCTTGCCGGTCTTACGTGAGCTCAAGCCTTGGGTCATCTGAATCATGGATACTGAGTCAGTTGAGTGGGGTCATGCCCTCACATCAAACTAGTCGAGTGCTAATATGAGCATGAAGTTATCGATGGGTGCGTGTTTGAAAATCACTCCATATTGTTCCCACCATGCTAAAATGACATACGTCTCATGACAAATGGCCAAGGGATCCAGATGGAAACGGACCCTGTCCAAACCCGACAAAGGAGTGGATAGAACAGGATCTGTGGTGCACGAACTTGGAAAAAACAAAATCAAGTTGGAATTATTCATATCTTTGAACTGATGCTTTCTCTAGAAAGTCCGTGCTTTTTCCCAGGTCCTTTTGTTTGTCCAAATCGTTCAGCATTTCCTGGCACTGACTGCGAACAATCCCCACAGCATCGGATCCGAGAACGATACGTAAAGGAATATTCTGATGACCAGTAAAATGACCCTTGCGGTCCACAATATCCACAATTCGTTCCACTGCTTGTGCTGGATCTCCAGGCTGCTTGCCATTAGTATGTTCCAGCCTGGACTGGAAAGCTTCAGTAGCGGCGTCATACTCGGGGATTGAGTTGACAGCACGTTCTGTTTTTCTCATGTTAGTAGCAAGAATACCGGTACGAAACTGGCCTAGCACCGTAAGATACACTTCCACTCCAAACGATGCCACCTCTTTCTGGAGACTCTCGACGGCCCCTAAGCCTCCCGTCAGTCATGTAAATTCTTCCAGCAATGCTAGCAAATATAAACAGAATGTGAGTAGGATGTTGCATACCCTCAAGGGCGAATTTCGAGGCACTATAGGGTCCACCAACGGCAACTCCCATCCATGCAGCTATGCTACTCATGAATATGACGGTTCCGGTTTGACGAGCGCGCATGTGCGGTAGGAGTGCACGAGTGAGATTCAGAGGACCAAAGACATTGGTACTAAATTGATCCTGAATTTGCGATTGGCTGTGAACAGACACGAGTGATAAATTATTTTTAGAACCCAAGGCAAGCTAGATGGTGGGACGTACCCCAGTTCCTCCCACACCCCGGATAGTACATATCCTGCATTGTTGACCAAGACATCGATCTGACCGAACATCGCGATGGCTTTGGTGATAGCCTCATTGAGAAATTCTTGAGATTCGGTGATGTCCAACCGCAAGAGGCGGACATTGTCGAAGTGGGCAAAATTGGACAAGGTACTGATATCACGGGCCGTAGCGATTACTCGATCACCGCGTGCTACTATGGCGGAGACAAACAAGCTGCCAAAGCCAGAGCTGCAGCCTGTGATAAACCAGACGCGTGTAGGAGTTCGTGATCGGGTATGAGCCATTGCTGCTAGATATAGAGATACCGATACACCACAGAAGGGACCGACTACAGCGGAAATTTCTGTACTTTATTATTTCCTGTTGACTGGGCCTCGAATGCGGGGGGGCGTATTGGAATCTGTTGCGATATATTACACCTAGTCCCATTTCAGTAATTGCGGCACTCAGCCAATCCTGCTGTCATTCGCCTAGCCGAGGAATAAATTCTTCATGCCCCGAGATAGATAGCCCTAGCCTAAATAGATGCATATATTTGCCAGATTGCAAGCCTCATTGATTGCCCTTTTAGGAGCTGTACGATGATAAGAGTCTCCACCGATTCCAACAGAATCTCATGTATAGTATGCCATGTCCGCAGAGTGGGGCGGCATTGGCTAACACCCCTATGTTATGGCCGCCGGGTGATTGGTGGTAATTCCGGGATTTGTCCATTGTGCGCGGATGGACCGAGGCAAATGATTTGTGATCAAAGCTGTTACGATGTTCTCCCTTAAATCCTATAAAAGTGCTTTGGTTGTCGAGCCACAAGACATAATGCGTCAGTCTTATTTACCCTTGTCATCATGGCTTTGTCCATGCAGCGGCTAGTATCTGCGGTTATCCCTGCGTATGGGTGCCCGGAGGGCACCAAGATGCACATCCTTAACTTAGGCACTCTAAGTGTTGATGAGGGATGGTGAGTTTCGCTATCTTGTGACTATGACATGACTATAGAACATTTGTATCTGATGACCCGCACGTAGGCTTCTGATGGGCGCCAATGGGGGTTCAGCCAGCAATCCCAACCCTGTCAATAAGCGGAGAGACTTGATGCTGATTGCTGGACTGATCTATCACCCCGATATGGGTCTTACTCTCTTTGAATGTGGAAGTACGGAGGATGTACAGAAGGTAGAAACCTCTAATTCATTGGGCACTTACATGAGATCTAGCTGACAAGAGACAAATACAGCAATGGAGCAGTGAAGCAACAGAACTGTTCCCTCGCACTTGCTACAATGAGAACCATCATTTGCCTCAAGCCATCAGCAATGCCGGCTACGATATCAAGGATATCAAGGCGGTGATCATGGGTCATTTGCATTTAGACCACGCAGGTGGATTGGAGCATTTCCGTGACACGGGTGTTCCTGTATATGTCCACGAGGAGGAATTCAAACATGCTTGTTGGGCTGCTGGAACAAACTCTGATGGCGGTCTTTATTTGTGAGTATCTCTTTGAGAGCAGCTTTTACATTGTTCGGTCATCTAACCCCAATTTCCCGAACAGAGCGGATTACTTAGCTCTGGACGGCACTATCAACTGGCAGACATTCAACGACTCACAATTGGATCTATGCACGGGAATCACTCTTTATCATTGTCCCGGACACACTCCCGGGCTATGTATCATGCAAATAAATCTCGCACGCGATGGAACATTCATCTAGACGACGGACCAATACCACGTGAAGGAGAATTTTGAGTCCAATTGGGCACATGGGTGGCTTTTGCGAGACTACCGAAGCTGGGTCGACAGCGGGAAATTTATTCGGCGCTTGCAGAAAGCATTTTCCGCAAAACTCATCTTCGGGCATGACACTGCTACTGCAGAGGAGCTTATTAATAATCAAAAGTACTATGAGTAGTTAGAGATCTCAATATACCTTTCTCTCTGCTTCTAGACCAGATGCTTCATTTGAGCAGTATGAGTTTACTTCTTCTTGTGTTGCTGCCTTGCCAGGTTTTTCCTCGGTTTAGTAAGTGGAAAAGGCTAACTAGGTTATATTTACTTGTTATAATATGCAAAATCAGTCCTTATTTTCTGCTCTCTACGTTAGCCACTGAATGAAATACCTGCTGAATTCACCACGCCACAGAATTGCCGAGTTTTCTCTTCTCGATTCTTCCAAGTATGGTTGCTTAAACTGCCGTGTTTCATTCGCCCTGTCGTGGGTAAAGAATATAAACAGATTCAAAACTTGGTTCAGCCCCCTCATGGTCCTTCTTGTGGATATCAACCAAGACAAGACGACCGTCATATTCGATTGTAGCCGCATGAGGACTGCGACCAGCGAGATATAAAGTTCAATCTTTTGTGGCATTGTTCGCCGGCTTTGCCGGCAATCCATCCGAGCCACCAAGCACCACTGAAGCGTCGCCCACGACTAAATTTTCATAACCAACCATATATGTCATTGGCAAGGCCATGAATCGGTTGCAATCGTCGCTTAGCGCAGCTGCATACTCGGGACTGTTGTAGAAGGCCAACCAGTCGTCCCAAGTGCGCACCCATAGCTGTGCGCAGGCATCGTACTCAAGGACGTGTTCTCCAAGGCTTGTTGCGCGTTTCTTCATCTCAGGGGTTTGGTGGTGCTGCCCACTCCGTCAGCTTTTGTGTTAGACATTACAATGTTGGAAAACGTAGGCCAATATGTCTTCTACAGTAGTCAGAGGAGGTATAAGTCATACCTGGGCGTATCGGAGAATATAATTCTGGAAGGCCTTGGTAGCGACGGCCAAATCTGCGTGGACGGTCTCCCAGTGCCGAAAGAAGTCCGCGTGTGAAATTCTGTCAAGTTTGCGAAAGAAGACTGAAACCTTGATTGCATGTTGGATGTTTGGTTTGGAGCTATAATCTAGCTCTGGATAGGTGAATTGATAGTCTTTGGGTAAAGGATTCATAATGCGCTATATTGACGCGTCGTCTGTGTTTCTCGGACAATTAAAAGACAACTCCCACGGTACAAGGCTATATTTCTTATACTTGAAGGACTGTAGAGACTGTAATTTGCCATCAGGTTATCATAAAGGTTTGAGTCAGGGCATGTGATAGAACTGGAAGGATGTTTCTCATATTATTTAGTAGCGACATCATGATGATCCTCATTCAATTACATGATTCAGGTCATCTTACTCAGGTAAGGGAGCCCACACCAAATACATACCTACATACTGGCAGTTTGTGAAATGATATTCAGATTTCTCATCCACCCATGTCAACTCACTGATAGCTCTGCTCACAGCTGCCGATACCCTCGGCCATGCTCACCAGGCAAGACCGCACAAGGCTCCATGCCGGTACTGTATAATAAATCGCTTCACAGTATCATGTACATCGATATAGAACACTAGCAAGGAAGGAATAATGCTGGTAGACTGTATGGTTTGTCTTTGACTGGAACTTCACCGCTTCAACGCAAGTACAAACGAGCCAGGCACAATATGGTTTTTTTTTGGTAGTTAGTGTAAATTTGATTGATACTCCATTGACCTTATCGACATATATAGTTCCTACCAACATGATACCATACATGTAAACAAGCTTCCTTCGTTGCAATATTGTATATGAGGCTGGTAAATTGCAATACCTGACTGTTCCTGATATAGCAAATAAAACTAGAAAACAATTCCAAACCGGCCAGCCGTCTTACCATTTTCCATTAACTTAATCATTTTTTGTATGTCCATGATGTTGTTGAAGGTATTCAGGTGTGCTTTTATACCATGTTTGTAGCTGAACTCGATAGGCTCACGCATCTGTTGCGGTGTGCCACTGCTTGCGCCCATAATGCGATACTTGCCAAGAAGGATGTCAAGAGCATTAATCGACAAATTCTCCTTGGGTATACCAATAACCATTAATAATCCGTTGATTCTGCGGTCTTGTTAGCGTCGTCGTGTTTTTTCCAGCACATGCGATTGGAAGTGGAGAACCTCTCACCTCAAAACATTTGGCGCACTTTGATATGCAGCATTTGATGCGCTCAGCACAACAGCAGCATGTGCACCACCACTGGTCTTTTGCAATATTTCTTCTGTATAGCTCGGATTTGAGGCGGAGTTGAAAGTAAGGTCTGCGCCCAGAGCCCTGGCGTTTTCCAACTGAGAGTCAGAGATATCGATACCAATGATTCGCAACTTCATTGCCTTGGCATATTGGATTGCTTTGAACGATATTAGCTGTAGTAATGAATACTTGAAGGGGTTTAAAATTACCCAAATGGCCCAGCCCCCCACACCCAATGATCGTAATCCAGTCTCCTGCCTGCAGTCCGCATTTGTTGACCGCGTGGTATGCTACCAAACAAGTTTCCGATCAGTTGATGGAATATGGCCAAGGGGCAAAGAATTTTTATCCACGAACCTGTTATTCCAGCACAGAACAAGGGAGCCGTAGAAAAGAGATCCATGCCATCTGGAAGCACCATGGCATTCCGATAATCCGATATCGAATACTCTGCAAAGTGACCATGGGTAGTAAATCCATGGAGGCGGCCACTCCCTTTTACGCAGTGGAGATTGTGAACGCGGCATCCTTCGCACTCATCTAAGCGGGTTTAGTTAGCTCATCAGTTTCTCGCTGAGGATGGAACACGTCGTTCTGCAATAAATAAACCATGACTTACAGCACGCGTAACTGCATCCAAGACATCCGACTGGGTCCCCGACTTTGAACCCTTGCACGTTGCTTCCCATAGCAACAACAGTGCCGGTATTCTCATGTCCAATCGTAACCTTCTCCATCGGGGGCTTCTCCGCTGTATGACCCCAGAAAAGCATCTGGCCATCATAGTTAGAACACAAGTGAGAAGAGAGACCACCGAGGATCATACCAAATCAGAATGACATAGAGAAGCGCAAGCATTTTTGATGAGAACGTCGTCCTCCCCGGGCTCGGGAATCGGGACCTCATTAACCTCGACCTTGTTCAGGACCTTCTCTCGTGATATTTTTTTAGAAAATGGATTTCTTGTATGATTTTGGTGTATTCGTTCGGTAACATACAGTATTATACTGGGCGGCTCGCATTGTGCGATGCATTCTGGGATAGCATAGGTTTCACTCAAAATAATTCAAACGGGAAAGACGTAAATTACTTGTGGTTTCCCTACGTCGGATATTTATAAATTCAAAGCTCGTATAACTCACTTACAAAGGTCAAATGGCTTTCGTTATGGGGCTTCTTTGTGGCACTTGTAAATCAGCCGGTGCCAAGTTCATTTTCTCGAGGAAAGTCAGGATGGTAGTGCCATGATCACATTTTGTGAGCTTCGAGTCATGAATCTACAGTCAGAACCATTTTCCAACAGATGCCAGCTTGACTTCGCCAGGCAATACTGACTGAAATGCCATGACTCGACAGTGCAGATTCGGAAGCCTTTTTGCTAATGAATTGATTCTTGCTCACAAGATTATAATTTCTCGAAAATAGCTTTAAGTATGAGTCTATTGTTCGTGTCGACAACGATGTCTTTATGGTCGTGGGGCCAATTGATGCTAACATGCCCGGAATAGATTTAACTAGCTATTAGTCGCTTAGTCATCCGAAAATATCCTTATTTCTCGGATATTTGGGGATCCTGAATGCACTTCATGATGGCTATGCGCGGGTTCTAGGGCAGGAAATGAGAAATTTAATGGTTGGGCGGGGTATCCATCTACTAGAAGAGTCAGATAATGATTCGTTATTTGAAGCCCCAATCGACGATCGATCGGCAAGAGGTCACCTACCACTTTCTCAGCAATGGGACCCACGAACCAAGCAAGTTATTGGCCAAGCCGGCTTTTCATCGGACAAACATAACATGATTCGATTCGCATGACTCAGGTCCATATTGTCTTGCATGACTCAGTTCCGGTAATTACTTCAAAGTCATGGATCTCTTGCTGAAGCCTGTCTTCATTATTATTATTATTATTTAATCAAGTTTATTGTCCATACCGAGCCCTAGAGCTATGATAGACCATGATTCATGGACTCGAGGTCAGCAGCTATTCTACGGTCTAGCCTGTCTTCATGAGAGGGTTAGTTATATAATTAGGAGGATAAAGATAGATGAAGGCGGTCACTCTAAGATGACTGTATATATATATATATATATATATTTTTTTTTTTTGTTTTTTTGCTTGTTTTTTTTCTAGGACGGGGATATTCAAGCCATGAAGATCGAATCGCACCTCACTCAGTTGTTCATCAACAATCAGGCAAGTTTCGCGCTACAAGGATCCAGCGAACTAGTCTGGATATTGACTGTCGGAGTGTCTAGTACGTGGATTGTTTGAACCCAAAGAAGTACGTCTATTTTGTCTTCAAGCTCCGCACTGTCGGATCTAACATAATATCAGGAATTTCGTGTACAACCCAGCAAATGGAAGCCTCGTGAGTGACCAGATACCAGTCGCCGGGGAAGCCGATGTTGGTCTAGCCGTCAAGTCAGCTCAGGATGCATTTGCACCTGGCTCAGAATGGCGACGCATGAGCGACTTTGATCGCCAAAAAGTGTTGCTTAAATTTGCAGATCTGATCGAGGCCAACCAAGAATATCTGGCTTCCCTTACGCGGATCACTCTGGGTGCGCCGTACAACCCCTTTGGGAAATCAGAGATCGAAACTGCTATAGGCTGTTTTAGATGTATGTTTTTGATGTCATGTGCAGTTTGATCCAAAGATGCTGATATGTGGACAGATTATGCGGGATGGGTGGGCAAGTTTGCCGGTCAAAGTTTTCCCGCCACCGACGGCTTTTACAAGGTCGTTCGAAATGAGCCGCTGGGGGTTGTCGCAGGGTATGAACCGAGAGCATTGCTGTCAATGGCAGTGTCGGCTTTCTTTCTTTCGTTCTGTTTTCTTTTTTCCAACTCTGTTCTGACCATTAGGTAGGATTATTCCCTGGAACGGCCCATTGGCATCCATTGGCCTTAAAGCTGCGCCTGCATTATCAACTGGGAACGTTTTCATTCTGAAGCCAAGCGAGAAAACTCCGCTAGCGGCTGCTGCGCTCGGAAAGCTAGTAGTGGAGGCGGGCTTTCCTCCTGGCGTTTTCCAGGTCTTGATTGGAGACGGCAGTACTGGTAAAATACTCGCCAGTCATATGGAAATCGCAAAGGTGAGCTTCACGGGAAGCGTAGCAACAGGAAAAAGTGTGCAAGCCCTCGCTGCAAAAAGCAACTTGAAGAGGGTGACCCTTGAGCTCGGTGGCAAAAGTCCAGCTGTGGTTTTCGACGACGCGAATCTTGAGAATGCTGTCCACTGGTGAGTGCTTTCATTTATCAGCTACAACCAAGCTAATGTCATGAAACAGGTGTGTGAACGGGTTGACTACTAACTCCGGCCAGATCTGCTTCGCTGCATCTCGAGTGTATGTTCAAGACGGTATATATGACAGATTCTTGTCAGCCTACCGCAAGGCACTCGCTGTGAAGCGTGGGGTTATGGGCGATCCTGAGAAGGCCACATCAGAACTCGGGCCAGTCGTGGATCAGGCGCAGTATGAAAGGATCCTGGTGATCATTGATAACGCGAAAAAGAACAAAGAAGGAAGCCTTTTGCAGGGTGGGGAAGCACTGGGCTCCAAGGTTCGTTAATATGCGTCTCCAAAATCGAATTTCTTGCATCTTTGCTCATCAACCCAGGGATTCTACGTTGAACCAGCGATCTTCGAGGACACCGGGGCGGATGCATCTATCTCTCGGGATGAGATCTTCGGACCGGTTGTTGCGATAAACCGATTCAAAACCGAAGAGGAGGTAATTGATCTTGCCAATAACTCACGGTACGGTTTAATTGCGGGAGCTTTCACGCAAGATATCAACCGGGCTCTGCGACTGAGCGAGGCCTTCGATTCGGGGGTAGTGGGAATCAACTGCATCAGTACCATCCACTTCTCATGTCCTTTTGGCGGAACAAAGGAGAGCGGAATTGGTCGCGAGCTTGGTGTGCATGCGTTGAATGCCTATACGGAGCCCAAGACAGTGCTGATTAACCTCACCTATTAGGTGGGTTACTGTCTGTATTTGCTCCTTGTCAGGATTCTCGAGATCTGGCTCGGACGGTTGGAAATGGGCGAACATCCATTATCGAGAGGAATGCTAGCGCTCGGGTCTGTAGGCAAATAAATATGGTCAGCAATACTGTAACTATATTCAAAGATTCCGTAACCTCCTTCGCTGGAAGAGCAGATCGGCGCACGCTTCGGTCGTTTAAACTCACAGTATGGGCTTGTAGTTCAACCCCTTGGGAAATCATGCTTTGGTCGGGCCGAAAGCGGAATGGGAAAGTCGTCAAATTTCCGCAGAAATCATGTACAGTAGGTGTTGTGACGGAGTTTTTCGCGATTGACAACCCCGGATTGGAACTCATTGACCAGGATAGTTTTATTTAGGAGGGATTGAGCCTGCATGAGATTATTCTTGTCAAAGAACTCCAATCCGGGATTGTCAGTCATGAGAAACTCCATAGCCATATATCAGCTGGACAAGCCCGTTGCTGTTGTTATCCATGTATATTATGTGCCATTAGACTAAGTGGGTTTGTAATAAGCCTCACAATCCTTTCCTCTCCTCAAGGTACAAGAATGGCAAAATATCAACTAGGATGCTCGGTAGGATGTCTGTAGGATGACATTTTGGAGAGCATCAGTAACCTCTTCTATCCATAGGGTTAGCTACCCAACTAGTTGAAGTGCTGGTGAATACTCACCACTGCTGTTTAATTCCTTGGCTCCAACGTATCAAGAAGGTACGGCCTGGCAACTTGATCAAAGCCTGTGATCTCGCCGCCTCGACACATCCATGATCGCACCACAGACGCCGTCAGTCTCATCTCCAAGGCAATTCAATGATTGGCAGTTCCCTGCTTCACCTGGCAGAACATTGATTCATCTAGTATTTCATCCTTTAGTTTCAGTTTCTACCGTCCCTTGCTATTCAGTACTCCAAGGCTGTAAAGTTTCTCCGGGCAATCCAGTACTGGCCCAGTTGTAAAAATCTTCTTGAAGCCTTTGATATGAAAGAGCATGCTCAGCAAGCATACATGCAGACTGAGGACCAGAGTCAGATCAAAGATGATTCCTGGAATCTTAAATTCATTCCTTTCCAATTCCGTCAGTTGACCGGCTCCCAAAGGGGCTACGAGAACAAAAGCACTTACGCGGCTTTCTTCCCAAGGAACCTCTTTGTGAAGTCCGGCTTCAAGAAAATAAACAATCGAGGGCGCCTGCCTTCTGGATCTCGGATCAGGGTGAGCGTTATGTCCCGATGGCGAAGGTGGATGAGCGCCCCTGGACGGCTTGTAGCGATGGCTGCGAGATGGCAGAAGAAAAGTATCTGAATGTGCTACCAGCTGCAGTCAAACGTCATCTCAGTAGTGGTCAAGAGAATGCGTGCAAATTCAGTAACATCTTCAATATACATGTTCTTCTTTGGCCAGAGCAAAAGGGGAAGTATATACTCACATCCTGCACCTTGACAATTACATCTTTGCTCAGTCCTGACGCTGTCTTCTGTTTCAGAACAGGATGCCACCACTTCCAGAATGACTCAAGTGAGCTCTTGTATCTCATGCCTAGGCAATGCCAACCATTCTTGGGTGACAGATATCGCACTGCCAGCGACCGTCTCATCTGAGTTTGAGATCCATTGCCAGTGCTGTACCGGGTCGACACCAATGTACCAACAATATCTGCCAGGGAGCCACCGGTGAGCTTTCAACATAGCCTGAGGGCCAAGAGAGTTATCTACCTATTCCAATACATGCGGATCTCATTGAGTTTTTCTGAGTGCCAGCGCTGTACCGCCTCTGTCGAAGCTGGGAGACATTCAAGCCAGAGAGAGCCCGGGGAGCCCGGGATTCTCACGACTTGAGCGGAGCTGGGCCCTCAGCTCACTATAGATGTAAATAGGTATCAATAACTCCCGACTGTTTACAGGCGGCGGAACAGTTCCCGCGTAGCCAGGGACTAAAACTGGCTGGGACTGGTATGAATAAATCCGAATTTGAATCCGAATCCGAAGTTACCAACACTATCATTGATTACTTGTCAAGGGAAGATTTGATTGTGGCTATGTGCAGATGTCAAGATAAGTCGGTGTTTTGAAGTTGGAAAAGGACAGCCAATGATCAGTTGCTGTGGCATGCAATTACATTGGAAGGATTTCAAAGGATTCAGATTACGCAGCGCTGCGATGTTGGGTGATGGCTCACCCACAGCTATAGCGCACTCATCCTAACTCACCCCTGGTCGCACGACCGAAAAGCGGCATCACCCTTTAACTCACCCAGGAGGCACCCACCGAACTATTATCCGCAGTTAAGCCACACGCCGGTCGGTTGGTAGTTGGGTGGGTGACCACCAGCGAATCCCGGCTGTTGTATGTTTTTGCATCTTTTTTATAATACCTCCTCATTCGCTACTGTACACTGTATCTATTCTTATTTTTTTTTTGGAGTGAAGCAAGCATATCTTATAGAGACAGTTCTGACATGATTCAATTTTTTTTTTTTTCAAACAGAATCACCTTTGTGGAGAGCCCATGAACACCAAAATTCAAGGCAGGAATTGGGGCCATCAATTGGGATGAAAGAAGCCTCCCACTCAAAACACGCTCTAATCTGCTATTTCTCTTCGTCGATCAATTCTCAATCGTCCCCCCCAAGACTAGCACCATCCCCAACCATCGGCTCTGGTGTTCTCGCTGCAACAATGATGTAATTCCCCAACAGCCTTCTGCGAAAACCCGCCTCGCAGTAGATAAAATAGTACAGCCATTGTCGACGAAGCGCCTCTACTTCTGCATCCAATGCCTCAGGGCGTGCAGCGCGATAGTCCAACTCAATTCTCTTCCAGTTGCGGAGGAAGTTGTCTTGCCATGCAAGCAAGGTCTTGCCATAATGGGGACCGATGTTCAGGGCGGAGGTGATCTCCAAGTTTCCGTTTGAGCCCCGGTGGAGGGAGTCGAGGAGCATGTGGATCGTTGGTAGGTAGCCCCCGGGGAAGACATAGCGGCTAATGAAGGTTGGGACATTGGATTTTGTCTCGCGAAGCTATGAATGAGCTGGTTAAATTTGCTTTTAATGGTAAAGTGGAAAGTTAAATGGCTTACAGACCTTGTTGATCATGGTGATTCCATCAACGACCATCACCCCATGAGTAGGGTGTAGAAGCCGTGTGATGATCTCAAAATACTGGTCCAGGTATTCAGGACCGACATGCTCAAACATTCCTACCGAGATCACACGGTCATAGAACCCACCATTATTTTCTGGTCCAGAGGCATTACGATAATCGCAAAGGAGGATGCGCACGCGATCTTCCAGCCCAGCCTCCCTGACCCTTTCATCTGCAAGACACTTCTGCTTGTCTGAAAGAGTCAGCCCCGTCACCCGACACCCCGCTGTCTGGGCCGCCTTTATGGCCAAATCGCCCCATCCGCAGCCAATATCCAGGACATGGTGTGAAGATGAAAGCTGAGCTTTAGAGAGGAGATGCCGGACCTTCCGTTCCTGGGCTGATTCTAGTGACTCAGCTGGGTCACCAGACCAGTGGGCGCAGGAGTAGTTCATGTCTGCTGAGAGAAAGGCAATAAAGAGCTCGTTGGAGGTGTCATAGTGCGACACGATATTTTGGCGGGCTTGTTGGATGCTGTTGGAAGGTTGGAGAAGCCATGTAAGGCGAGGAAGGAGCTGGAGGAGAGAATTGCCAGAACCAAGACGGCTTCTGTTCTTGATGTAGATCTGCTTTGTTTGTTAGATTATCTGGAAAGGAAATTTGGGGGCGAGGAATGGTCCATGTTCTATGGCCATGGGTGTGCACACATCAAATATTCGACCCAGGTCATCACAGTCAACTTCCTGAAACATATAGGCCTCTGCAAACCCCTATTTGCGCGGCCGCACTCCATCAGCAACACCATATTGACATCTGAATCTAACCAACTGAGCCTTACTAGATCAAAACAAGAACAAATCCTCATCCACAGATTGGGACTTCGAACAAGGAGCACAACTGTCGAATCGGACTGCTCAGAGCCACCAATGTCTCCCACCTGGATCACCTCTGCAGGATCCTGATACTGCAGAATAAACTTGAGGCGTGCGCCATAGATGCGCTGGAGGGCGTGGAGGGCGAGTTGTTGGGCATAAGGATGAAGGAAACATGAGATTGTGGAAGTCATCACGCTGGATTGGAGGCCAGTGACGACCTTGCCAGATCTTTTTTAGACTGGTGTATCGAATACTAAGGTTTAAACAATGAATTCTTTAAATTCGTTATGCGCTTCTTCACTGGTAATGTCACGGCGCTCATCTAGGATAATGGAATATCCTTCTCATGGGTTCTACATAGGCAGCTATCGACAGGAATAATCAACACGAGGAAGGAAGAGAGAAGGTAACACTGCAGTCATCAACGGACAAGCCTAACAACCCCGCTTCACGTGATAGCCAACCAACATGACCAGGCTGTCACAGGTAAGACATGACCTGATTCCCTGTGTTTGTATGAGTATCCAATATCTATGACTACCTTTTTGCACAAAGGTGAGGCTTGTCAAAATGTCGTGAAGTACCCTTGTACGTTCAATTTCTGCTGACCTGCAATGCCTCTTATCTATTTTCACCAGATATAAATAGGGACTTTTTGGTGATACCTTGAGAGGCAGCTCGAAATAAATTACTCTAGCTATGTATCTATTCCTAACACCCATATTACCCGCTGACGTCATGAAAATAGCCTTTCCTATCTCCAAGGCCTCAAGTCGCGGTACCGTACTCCACGCCCTACCAAGTCCCTTCATGCATGTTTGCCAAAAAAAACATCCATCATTCGCTAAACACCGTGGAGTCCAGATGTAGCAGATGTGACATTAAAGGGATCAGGGAATGGTGGTGGGGCGAAAAAGTGG